GCTAGCTATGCGAATACAAGTTGTTGCTATTGGTTCTTGGAACAGAAGCCAAGATAATTTTCTAAATTAAATGACTGTAAAGCTAACTTTAATACAGGGTTAATCAGGTTGTAGAGATACAGGCACTCTGACTCAGCCTCAGGGTGAGAAACAAAAAGGGCAAAAGAAATGACTAGTGTAAAAGCTATGCCATTGATCACAGAGGCAATTGTCTTATTGACATTAAGTCATTCATAAAACATTTCCGTTTACCAAATGTGTGACTCGTTTGTGAAAAAACACATTAATTTGGGATATTTACTTATCACTAAAGTGACTGATTCATACCTTGGCCCATCCATCCATCCACACTGCACAAGCCACCCGTCCGCACTGCACAAGCCACCCGTCCATCCGTCCGCACTGCACAAGCCACCCGTCCATCCATCCATCCCCACAAGCCACCCGTCTGTCCGCACAAGCCATCCGTCCATCCACACTGCACAAGCCATCCGTCCAGTCACACTGCACAAGCCATCCGTCCGTCCACACTGCACAAGCCATCCATCCAGTCACACTGCACAAGCCATCCATCCAGTCACACTGCACAAGCCATCCACCCAGCCACACTGCACAAGCCATCTATCCAAACTGTACAAGCCATCCAGCCAAACTGCACAAGCCATTCATCCAGTCACAAGCCATCCATCCAGCCCCACTGCATAAGCCATCCAACTTAAACATGGTGTGCCGACAATAAAGTAACTGTAGAGTCCTGTAGCTTAGTGGTTAGAGCACTCGCCTTACAAGTGAGACACTTGGGTTCAATTCCAGGCAGGGCGAAACCTTGGGCAAGTTTCCTTACTCCACACGCCTAATAATAATCCCTCCAAAACAAAACAATAATAAATTGGTCATTTTCAATCCACGACTGTTTATGGAACACTGCTGTGCGCAATTGGCTGCCGCGTTTCGCCCACAAGCATACGGTCAATTCACTTTACAGTATATTCTGTGAAGCGCTTTGTGACATCTAGAAGACATGAAAAAAGCTATATCAAATGCAAGGATTATTATTATTACTATTATTATGTATAACGACACCGGAGGGGTTGATGAGGCTGCAGATGGTATTTGCAGAGAATAATAATCCCATATAAAGAGGTCTTTACTGACATAAGGAAGCACAGGCTCCCAATGGAAAAGGCACTGGGCTGTTGTCTGTTGGAAGCCAAGATCGGGAAGGAGTAGTTGGCTCTAGTGAATCACACGGCCTCCTTTCTCGAGAAACGATTTGTTTTGTCAACTTCAGACAAATTCTATATCACTGCAGAACTCATTCCACAGTTTCCGATTTGATCAGCAAATCATTGCCTGTCATATTATTATTTTTGCTCCATTGGTCAGGCTAAACTCCTCAATTTAACACAATACCAGTTGCAGCCCTTTGGCTGAATCAGTGCTCGGTTAGCTAAGGCCACAACAAATTACACCAGCTCTGAATGATTGCTAACCTGACAGATGGAGTCAGAGGGCGAGACGCGAGTGAGTGGCACACTAGGCGGGAAGAGTGAAACATGATCACTCATGTCTGACGTCTCACTTTCCTCGTTCCAGTCAGAATTGTCTCAATTCCTGCTCTCAAAGATGGCCGGTGTGCTCTCCAATCACTGAGGCCAGCCTCTCAAAAACTATTGGAAGCAAGCTAGATCCATAAATGCTCTCTAACAGAAAGCTGGTTTTAACCAGAGGAATTGCTGGAATGTTTACCCACTGCAGGAATTTCCTCCCCCAACAGCAACATTAGAAAATGGCTCGAGCAGAAGCCTAGGTTCCTGCATGCTGGTGGAGGTAACCGGTATCGTGAAATCCTGATTTCAAAATGGTGGCCTGAGGGAGAGCAGCTTCACAGGGGAATATCGGGAAATTGGCCATCTTTGTACTGTGGACTGAGCCCGACTTAGGAGGAATATTAACCTCACTCTCCCACCTCCCCATTAATAACCTGAACATTAATAGATGATTGTGGCTTATACACAGTGGCTTGTAGGTGACACTAAAATGAACAAAATGAATTAGGCCTTGCTTAAATTTACAAATTAGGTTAATTATAAGACTCACTGTGAATCACTGCAACACAGGTATAAACCCTCACAGCCACACTTTACCTAACATCAGAGACAGCAGAATCAGAGCTTAACCTCCGAAGATACATGAGCGTTTCCTGAGGTAAGAATAAACGACAAGCAGTATAAGCAGCAAGCCCAAAACTCAATGAGATAGGAAAGGTCTGAGTTTATAGTCACGTTAACAAGTTTGGAGCTGGTTTCTTCAGCACAAGACAAATACTTCCGCTCACCTCGGGCACCACACATAGCCCACCCCAGCACCACCAATTCACTGTTAATGTAATTACTGTACTTTCTATTGATTAGTGAAGCACTCTGTATATTTACATACATTAACAGCTCAGAAATGGAAACGTAGATTAAATGTGTGTTCACCATCTCGCCAAGAGCAGGTCACATCTTTTCTGCTTCTGTCACTTAATTTCAGGCCAATTCTGGTGACTACATCCCACTCCATCATCTAAACAAGTAACATTTCCTAACAGCCTGCTTCATCCTGTGCCAGGAGTCTGACTCCAACATCTCAGAATGAGGAATTCCCAATCTAGCTGCGAGTCCAGATCTCTGACTGCGTTTGACCAATTGCTGATGGCTGCGTGCTTGGGCAGGGAAGAGAAACACCGCACTATCCTAAGGCTGATGGTCGCTGACCCAACTCTCTAATTCAATCCCAATCTCACACAAGTCTGGTGCTAAATCTCTGCTTTTGAGTGGTGCACAGCAAATGGGGAGGGGAGGGAGGAGGAGAGGGGGGAGTGTAAGTGAGAAAGGGTGAGTGGAGTGGAATTATTTTAGAAAGACCAACAGCATCGTAACATAAAGTTAACTCTCACTTGATCTAGGAGACCTGATGTATTACTGACTCTTAAAGGCTTTTCTAATTTCCTGCCAGGATATGAGAGCAGTGACTAGTCTGGTGCCCACACTGGCTGACTTTACATAAAGCAACCATTACAAACTTTCACCAAGAAAAAACTAATTACGGAGTTCATATCGACAACACTCATTGTACTGACTGGAGACGTCAGTAGGAAAAAAAAACGAAGATCAGCACTTTTATGTATAATGAAGATATAAAAAAAACTGGCAAGCTCCATGCGTAGAAAATAATATCCAGAAGTGAGTCATTCTCATATGAACGTTCTAGTGTCTGAGTTACAGCCCAAACAAATGCATAATGATGGACACAAGTTTAGGAAAGCCTCCATTTCACAAGTATCTTGAGTTCAAGTTATTAGAAAATTGGAGGAGACATAATTGTGATCCTCCAAGTAGTGCGTGTATGTGTGGGGGAAAAAGGGGGCTTTAAATACAGGGTCGAGATAATTCTATTGAAAAGTAGCAATTCAGACAAATAGGAATGAGAAGGTGTATAGCGCTCTGGGATTCACACACGAAGAACCATGGCTAAACCCCAGCAAAAAATAAAGGTTGCGTAATAAAATCTAAATGTGGAAAGGCACCTCACAGATCACAGCTGTCAGTGAGATTAATATAGTCTATTGAGGTCGATAGATTTCATTCTCAAACTTTTCAATATGACATAAATAACAAATTTATAACACTAAAAAATCCTATTTGTCCTTAAGAATATTCTTGCTCGACTCCAGACCCATTTTATTCATTTTCCTCCACAAACTACTATTTGGTTGAGGCAGCATCCCAACCCCTGGATTCTGGCTCTGCCAACACCATTCGGGAACTAGCAACGAGAAAATCTATGAAAGCAGCAGCGAAAGATTCCGCAGCCAATTTTTCGTTTTCACGGGAGAGTATTATGTTCTCGAGCCCCTTATGTACTTAAATGCTTTGAGATCCTCTATGCCCATATTCTTTTCACCCTGTCCTGAAAGACCTTGATTTTTGTTATAAAAGTTGAGCTAAGGATCGGAATCCTTTTTTCCCTCACTCTCATTGCATAAACCTTTACATAACTGCAAAGTGGATAGACTGAGATTGAATTAAATCTTGGTGCACGTTACCTGCAATGGGAAGCAAGAGTAGAACTGCCCTGATTTCATGACTTAAGTCTTTCTGGAGAATTGGGAAACTTCCAAAGTCAAACCTTTGATTATTTTACATTATGTGGTTAATAAACCTCTCATTCCCATTGAAAAAAAATCAATCAGCTAGAATTCTAGGTAGACAATATAAAAGTTGAACAACTTTTAAATGAAAAACTGTCTGCTGTGTCCACAAATATTCATGATCACTATTACGCAGCATAAGGAACACAAAGTAACTTGCACTCCCACTGATGAAGGAAGGTGAGATACAGATCACAAGATAGTTGGCTTCTTGATGGGCTGAATGGCCTATTCTGACATAGTTTCCAAATTTTCTTGACTGAAAGGAACTGATGGACTTGCATTCAATCCCTGAATGCTTTTAAATGTAGTAATTAATAACAACAACAATCCTTGCATTTGATATAGCGTCTTATCACGTCTTCGAGATGTCTCAAAGCGCTTCACAGAATATACTGTGAAGGGAATTGACCCGATTTTGTGGGCGAAACCTGGCAGCCAATTGCGCAAAGCAGTGTTCCACAAACCGTCGTGGGTTGAGCGACCAGATTATTAGGATTTATTATTTTTTTTGAAGGAATTATTACACCTGTAAAAGCGACCCAACAATCGGGTTCCTACCACTGCTGGAGGCGTGTGGAGTAAGGAAACTTGCCCGACGTTTCTCCCTGCCCGGGAACCGAGCCGAACCGAACCCCGGGTCTGCTCGCTCGCAATCACGAAAAAACACGAAGTTACAGGACTGCACATTAAACTCTAAATAGTTAAGTTTTATTTGTGGCAGCAATGCATTCTGAGGAGATTGCCATTCACCTGAATCTGCACATGAGTCTCTGTCTCCACCCCCCACCCCCCCCCGACTCACCTGAGCACAGTGACACTCCCCCTCCGGACGGGCAAGAAATAGACGGGTTCCGAGACCCTGATGGGTTTGAACTGAAACTTGCAGCCGAAGCAGAGAGCCGAGTCGCTGAAGAAAGACACGGACACGATGGGTCTCTCGAAGATGTGGATGGGATCCACGTGGGACACGATGCAGCCGCCGGGCTGGTAATCGTTGATGACGGCGCTGTTGACGAAGCCCTCGGGGATGACCCGGTGCTCCACCAGCTTCTTGATCACCAGCTTGTGGACCCACTCGGGGATATCGTCCACGTCTCCCCGCGGGTACAGGCGCTCCTGGCCGGGGCCTCGCTTCTCCAACTGCGAGCCGTACGTGTAACCTTCCCCGAAGAAGTACTTGTTTCGTAACGGGGCCCTGTCCACCGTGTGCTCCCGGTACAGGCACTTCTCGGCCCGCGACACCACCTCGTCGATCTGGTTCTCGATGTCGGTGCACTCGTCCGGGCTGAAGAGCCGCACTTGGCGGATGTCGTGCTTCACTCTGCGCGCCTCTCCCTCGTAGTTGTCCTCGTAGTCGCTGTGGTCCTCGGGGCCCGGGCCCAGGCCGCACACGCCCGGCGCCGCCGCGCACTCCTCGGCCGCCGCCGCCTCCGCCTCGCTGTGGTGCTTGCGCTTGCGGCCGTTGCTGTAGGGGGTGGCGGTGGCCGCGCGCTGCTTGTCGCGGTGAGGCGACTGGAGCTTCTCCCTCAGGTCTGCGTAGCCGCCCGCCGCCATCTTGGGCCGCAGGGGGGGGGGAGGGCAGGGGGCGGGGCTGGGACGAGGGGGGGCGGGGTTAGAAGCCGCAAGGGGGGGGGGCGCGAGCGTCAAGCACTGCGCATGTTCGCTCGCTGTCACTCTGGAGCCCGGGCGGCGGCGCGCATGCTCAGTGGGCGGCAACACGCTTCCCAAACCGACGTAATCTCAGGTGTTCAGTCACGTTACCGAGAGGCGCATCTTTCTCTCGGGAGCGGCGGCTCCTTGTCGCCCGAGTGCGATCTTCTCTCTCGTGTTTGTCGGTCTCCCTCTCCCGCCGCCGCTGCTCGAGCTCTATCCGCGCCCCGAGCCGCTCTCCTCACGGCTCGTCGGCCTCATCACGCGCCCTCAGCCAACGCGATCCTTACCTACGCCGCGCAGGCAACCTGACCGGATGTCCCGCCCCCGCCTCCCATTGCTGACTCCCCATCATTGGTCTGCATGTGGAGCAGGCGGCTCCAGCACCGGCCGCTGACTGGCCAATCGCGCCGTCAATCAATCAAACCACCTGAGCCCCTCCCGTTCCCACTGAGTGAGATTGACGCGGACAGTGGCTGTGCCTTGAGAGGACCCGCACTGTTATCCTCAGGGCTGTCTAACCGCGATGCCCGTCACTGTCCCCCCGCCACCGGAATATTATTTTCTCTCTTCCCTCCAAATAGATCCCCATACAGATGTGCATTTATTATACCCCCCAACACTTGTCTGGGTGTCTGACAAATGCAGATCCATCGCTTAAGAGTCTCCAAAACGTAGAGAGTCCCCGTGCACCCACATACACAAAAATATACCACTTCTAATGCACCGGTACATACAACAACAATCATTCTACAGCAAATTCATTACCGCGTAAATCCCTGTGTTAATGGAATTGCACACTGCTTGTCCAACTAATACTACCCTACTCCTTAGGGCTTTCGCTTGCACTGTGTCCTGAAGGAGCTGAGTGGGAATAATAAAATGGTTTTAAAGTGAAGAAAGACCATAAAACATTAGGAATAAATTATTTAATGTTCTCAAAGGAACACAAGTGATTAAAGCAGTGTATTATGTAACAAATTGTACAAAATATTTAAATGAAATCAGACTCATCCAATACAAGAGTTTACTGTCAATCCTACAAAAATATACCACTTTTAATGCACCAGTACAAACAACAAAAATCATTCTAGTTTATACATATATAATTTATGTATAAAAAATAAACAAACTGGGTGTATATTTACTACCATCGTTTACAAACAATAGAAAATAAATGTCAGGGCATAAAACCCCATGTCTATTTAAAATGACTGTTCAAAAAGCTAAAATAGCTTTTTTTTTGCACTTTTACTATTTGGAGCACCTGGAAAAACTTTAAAAATTAACTATTCTGCAACAGCAATTCTCAATTTTAAAAAAATGAATCAATATAATCTTCAGGAAGCAATATCGTCATCGGGACTTTCAAAAACAATTTTCTTAAAAAATTCAGATGTGTGGGTGAAAGCTAACAGTACAAACCATTGCACTGCAAACGGTACTAGACTGAAGGGGGAAATGAGAGAATTGAAGTGTCTCTGACGGGGGAGGGGGTAGATGATATGGAAATTATTCCTTGAAGTATTTCTATTCAACACTTGTTTCCTTTTTTTTGCAGTTTTGTATGAATATTTACAGTAATGGGGCTATAGTTTTATTACTGTAATGATACTTATGTTTTCAGCAACACAGAGCTGAGAGCAAACTAAATCACAGCCAGGTCCAGGGAGACAAACACGTCACCTGACAGCCGAAGTGTTAAACGAGAATAACATGATTTACAGAGTGATACGGCACGGAAACAGACCATTTGGCCCCGCTAATCCATGTCAGTGTTTAGACTCCACACGAGCCCCCACCCCTGATTAATCCCCTCTCATTCCTGAGGGAAAGACGAGGAGAGGTAAGGCGTTCCAGTCTTCACTGCTTAGAAGAAATGAATTAGCCTGGAACATGGCGTCAATGAATCGCGGGTTAAACGCACAACATCTCGCAAACTGCCTTGTGCGTCAGCTATGTGACTGCTTACAATGGCACGGCCCTTGTTCCCCCACACAGAAGCGATGTCTCTTTAAATTGAACAGGGAGTCCAAGGAGGCATGTTTGGTTTAGTTACAGATGGATAGTGGTGAGATGCATCCAGATCATTTTTTCTCCATCCCACATGATGAAAGAATGAAGTTGCAATCTTCAGATCAGTATCCGCCACAAGTGTGCGCTGGAGGTTTGTTTCCTTACAGGGGTGAGGTTGTGTTTGGGGTGGGGGGGAGTTGGGGGGGGGCAATGATCTTTCTTCTGGAAGGTAAAGATGGAAGATGCCCTGCCCTTTTCTAGTGACTAATGTCACTCACAGGCCGGTTAGGGCTGATTTCAGGAAACAATGTTATTATTGTTCCATGGCTCTGTGAGTGATTTTAATTCCCTTCAGTCAGGCTCAGGTAGCTCAGTCACCAGCTACAGTTCAGCTTCACTCCACATTTACACTGCTAGCCTCAGCACCTCCTCCAACCTCCCACTCTACCTCCCCTCCATCCTTCATAATGTCACCACCGCTTTCATCAATTAAATCACAACAATTTGCACTTGAGACAGTTGCTTTCCTATAGATAGTCCCCACACACATCCATCAGATAGAATGATGAAACATTGTTGGGGAATGCTGGAATTTAAAACGTTTCTGAGTGAGTCTGTCTGTATGAACGAGGTCTCTGAAGTCTGGTATCAGATCAGACCGCGGCATCGTTCACCAGCTCAAGCACCAGCCTCTCGGGTTCGTGTCTCCTCCCCTCCTGCACAAGACATGAACCGGGTGTCCTGGGCTGACTGCCAATCCCGAGTCCTAGAGTGCATCAAACCAGGAGAGAAGCCTCACATTGTCAGCAGCCAGGGTCGTGTCCATTCCCCCAGCGTGGGCTGCGATAGGGAAGGTCAGTGGCCGATCACAACAGAGTGATCTCACTGGGGGGAAGCGTTAATCTCTTCTCACGAGCGGTCAAGATGGATTCCACGTGCACGGCGATGACACGGCACATATCCAAGGCCTTCGAGAGAGCAGATCACATGGGAAGTAATCACCCACTGTGCTATTTCAATTCTTCCCTTCCCCTACCCACCCCTCCCAGCTGGATTCCCATCCCATCCCACCCTCAGTGCCCAAGAGGGAGGGCAGACCCCCATTCCTCAGGCCTGCTCCACGCTCCTGGTGCTGATTTAGAAGTGATCCAGGATCAGAATCTTCTCCGCTTAAAACCGGGGACATAGAATTGGGAATTGAGAGGAACAGGAAGTTCCTAAGTAGCTGGACCAGGTCTCATCACGAGAAGGAAACTGTGGGACACTGACACTGGCTTTAAGGATACAATTGGTATGGAGGGGTTTAGTCTGATGATCTATGACATGATCTATGGATGAAGCAGGTTTAATGCGTCACGTGGCCTCTCCTCATTCCATATTTACATTATCGATTCACTTCTCTTGTATAAACGTTTCTAAATCAGACCAGGAGTCATCCCCAACACACAGAGATCAGTGAGAGACCTCAAGCCACGTACCTGGTTGAGTTGAAGCTGTGTTGTTCTCTGTGACATCAAGTCGCCCAGTTTGATCTCCACGTAAGGGTAGCTACTGCCAGTGGCCAGGCGCTGAGTCCTCGTCGACTGAACTTGTTTCAAGGGGAAATTGACCATCAGCTCCTGGGGAAAAGGTCAAAATCTAATTGGTTCATTTCATTTCCTATCTCCTTCAAACCTGAAATTCCTCCTATTGGTGCCCCCCCCTCCCAGATCACTAGCGCCCCCTTCCAGTGGGAGGATGTAACGGTCCATCTTACGGACAGCCAGTGTGACTGTTTTCTTTGTTGACTGAAGTTCTCACCCTGACGTTCTCCCCACTGAGAGCTCAATGCTCTACAATAGTTGCTGTTCACCTGATCTCTCAGCTTCTGTCCCTGACATCCTTTGCTGACCTAGACCTGACCCAATCAGCTACAACACACCCTCTTTCATACAGTCTTTCTAGATCCTCGGGTGAAGAATGGTCACTTTGGTCAGAGGGTAACTGGAGGGAGGAAGGGGATACTGTATGCCTGAGGCAGAGCAGTGGGCAAAGGTTCAAAGCACAGTCTTACTGTCAGGGAATTAGAGACTGTGTTCACTCACGTGGGTGTCCTTGTTGAGGAAACTGAGCCCATTCTGGTTGATGGCTAGGATGCAGGGCGTATCGATAGCACTGTTACTGCTACTCTGGATGAAGAAGAATGAAGAGCCAAACATGGGGAAGATACTCACAAGCCCTGTGATAACAGACAAGACAAACCCAGAAAGGTATTGAAGGTATGGGATCAAAACTCGCCAGTGCCATTCTCTCGTTATCGCCCTGTGCTGTGTGTGCCCAGGCCGGGACACCAGCCGCTGCCCACTGGACCCAATGCATCAGATTTATGGAAAGAAATTCGACCCGGGTCTAGATTTATTAAATTTTCTCAGCATTTCTGATCATCCAGAATTTGGCAAACTTTACCCTTCAGCCATCATGGGTCATCAACCCCCCACCAACACTTCCCCTCAGTAAGACCAGGACCTTCCCGCCATGATCCCCCTTCCTTTCAATCCTTCCTTACCCAGGAACTGAGCTCTGGCCTGGTGTGCGCTGAGGGCCTGCACCTGCTGAGTGTGGTCAGTTACCATGTTCAGCCAGAGCTGCGGCCGCTGCTGCCAGTAGATCTGTGGGGGTACGTACTCCTGGACCTCGCGGCTTCCCACCAGGCAGAGAGAGAGAGAGAAAGAGAGTGAAGACTCCAGCACAGAGTGGGAAAAACTCAGTCCAGCCTGCTCAGTTTCTCCCCCCACACCCCCGATACACATGGGGCCGTACAATCTAACAGTACAGCAGAAGCCCATTGTGCCCGTGTCAGCTCTCCGAAAGACCTCTCCAGTTAGATCCATTCTCCTGTCTTGCTCTCACGCTGTCTCACCATTTTACAGAATATCCTGGGAAGCACTTTGAGACGTCTTGAGATGTGATACGGAGCTAAACCAAAAGCGAGAACTAGTATCATCTCCCTTTCAGATATTTACTCAATTCTCTCTTACAAATTTAAAAAGGAATCCGATCCAGGCACCGTTGTGATTGGCACCGTGTACACACTGCTGAGGCAGAACTTACACAGAGGGCAGGTAGACACCGTCCTTGGCCCTGTGCTGCAGGGCGGCCAGCTTGGAGACTTGCTGCAACTGCTGCTCGCTCCTCCTCTCCTGGGTCAGGATGTGCAGGAGTCCCTTCAGGTAATCAGGAACAACCTGGATTGGGTAAGACAGAAATAGTTGCTGCAGATTCGCTGAGCACCACTGCAAGAACTTCCTTCCAAGGAATCTGTTCACCCAATAAACACTCAAGTCACTACATATTAGATCCTATGAAGCATTTTAAGACAATCTCCCAATGTGAAAGGCAGATTATCATATGTAAGGATTATCCAAATTATAATAATCCCAAAATATTTCTGTTTTTTGTGTCGCTCCCAGTGCACAAACCATTCCCTCTCTCCCTCCTCCCCACCCCCTCACCCCCCCGGGGAGGTCGGGAACTCTCAGGACCAGGGGTTCCTTAGGAACCAGATTTCCTCTTTTATCCCCGTAACCCCAACCACCCTCCACCCCCCAACCCCAGATCAGCAACGGTATTCTTATGGTTTATTCAATGTTAGATTGTTCAGAATGCCGTCTCATCAAGGGTAACCTGGATACAGAGATCAGGAAGTGGCTTTAAACTCTGTCACTCCACAAGTGTGCAGGTACCTGATTGTAATGCACGGTGACACACAGCTCATTGTCAAACTTGAGGGGCTGAGCCCAGATGAGCCGCCGGAACCAGAAGGTGAAGTTGCTGTCGATGGCCTCCATCTCGGTGGCCACGTCCAGGATGTAGTCCTTCCTGTTCAGTGGATGCACATTCTGTCCTGAGGAGCAAAAGGCAACAGTTATGTGGCCTAAAGGAAGCTCATTAACCGTCCAACAGCTGAGGGCAGACTTAATCATAATAATAATCCTTACACGTGCGATAGGTTGCCTTTCATGTCGAGTGGACCTCACAGATATACTGTAAAGTGTGTGGTGATCGTCTATTCTGTAAGCAAACCCAGCAGCCGGTTTGCAATGTCCCTCAGACAGCCGTGAAGTGAATGAGCAATTTTGTCTAGGATTGTCAGCCATGGACAACGGCAGAGAGAAACTCCCTTCTCTTCTTGAATTGCGCCCCGGGATCTTTAACATGCACCTGAACAGACACAGTCGGGAGCTCAGTTCAACATTTCATTGCAGCGATCTCTCCCCGCTGCACCACACTGTGAAACTCTCACCTTTGTTGGTGATGACGAAGAGGGAATATTCTTCCACGGCCTCCGGGCTGTGCAGCCCCATCTCATAACACAACTCCTCAATTACATCCAGAGCCACCTGCAGGGAGGGTGATGGTTGGACAACAACAGCAAAATTACATTTGTATAGCGCCTTTCACATCGGGAGGACATCCCAAGGTGCTGGACGTCCAGGCTCAACTACGCAAACTCCCTGCTTGTTGGCCTCCACAACTGCTCCCTCCATAGGCTGCAGATCATCCAGAACTCTGCAGCCCATGTCCTCTCCCGCATCAAGCTCCGCGACCCTATCACCCCCATCCTCACCCGACTCCACTGGCTTCTCATCGCATAAAGGATACAGTTCAAGATCCTCGTCCTGACCTTCAAAGCCCTCCATGGTCTCTCTCCCCCCTATCTCTGCGACTTCCTAACCCCATCCAACCTTCCCGCTCCCTCTGCTCAGCAGGATCCGACTTACTTCACGTCCCCCACCTCGCCCTCTCCACCATTGGCGAACGGGCCTTCTGCCACTCCGCCACCACCCTCTCGAACTCCATCCCGCAGTCCCTTCGCCTTGCCCCCTCCCTTGTCTCCTTCAAGACCTGTCTCAACACGCTCCTCTTCGGCCATGCCTTTGGTCTGCCTCCATCCGCCCCCGCCCTCCACCCTCCCCGACCCCGAGCTTGGGTCCGAAACACTGATTGTCTAGCACATGGGACGTCCTCCCGACATGAAAGGCGCTATACACATGTAATTTTCCTCTTGCTGATGCTGCTGCCAGTGGACAGAGAAAGGTTTATGATGTCTATGAGTAGGAGGGCACGGAGGTGGAGCTGGGAGGTAAGGAGTGGGGTAGGGATGGGGTCGAGGGAGCAGGTGGTTGGTTTCATGTGGGTCATAATATAAAATAATAATCCTTGCATTTGATATAGCGCTTTTCAAGTCTTCTAGACATCTCAAAGCGCTTCACAGAACACACTGTAAAGTGAATTGACTGTATATTTGTGGGCGAACGCGGCAGCCAATTGCGCACAGCAATGTCCCACAAACAGTCGTAGATTGAAAGTGACCAATTTATTATTGTTTGTGGTTTTGGAGGGATTATTATTAGGCTCTGTGTGGAGTAAGGAAACTTGCCCAAGGTTTCGCCCTCTGCCTGGGATTGAACTCAGGTCTCTCGCTTGCAAAACGAGTGCTCTAACCACTTAGCTACAGGACTCCTATGGTGGTGATGAGAGAGGAGGGGGAGACAGGTTCGAAGGTGTGGAGGGAGGGATGGGTGGTGGCTGGGTGAGGTGAGATTGGGGAGGGCTTAGTGGTCAGAAGGGCAGAGGCAGCTGAGCAGATCCCCTAGCCTAGGTTTTAAGGAAGTCCAGTATCACCTCGCAGTTGGTGTTGGAGAGGATGAATGAGGCATGAGAGGGTGTGCGGAGGAGCCGGTTGGTGTTGGAGAAGAGGAGCCTGGGGTTGTCCTTGGCCTTGGACAGTCACTCACAAGCAGCTAGATGAGGGTGGGATGCGGGAGATGAATGTAAGGAGGGAGAGGGAGTGTGGGGAAGAATGGGGAGTAGGGAGGGGAGAAGGGAGGTGGGTGTGGGAAAGAGGAGAAAGCAATCCAAACCAACACAGAAGTGCTGGCTGTTGTAGACTCACGGAGCAGGTTTTGATCTTCACATGCCTCTCCACACTCCCGGGTAAGAGGAAGAGCTGCCGCTTCGAGCTTCTTCCAGCCTGTGAAGAGAAGAGAGACATAGAACAGTGCGGAAGGACAGTTACAGCACCACTTCTCCTAATACCGGCAACCGAGGCATCAGGCTGCGTGCAGAGGGATACCGTAACTGCGATGAAGAGACTGACTCACCAACATGGCTTTGAATTCCATGCCACCTGGGTATTGTGTCCGGCCTCCAAACTGGAAGGTCTTTCTCAGGTTCTGCTCACAGGCGTGAGCGATTCCTGTGTGGGACAAGAGTGGGGTGGGGGATGGGAGGGAAGAGACAAGTTAGCTGTTTAGTGGAGCTGTAACGTGGAGCATTGAGATGAGTGTTGGAGATAGTTTGGGGGGTGGGGGGGAGACGATGATAAGTGATGCATGCGATCTTTTGTTCGATTTCATTGCAGCCGGGATAGAAATCGCTCACAATGACCAGCTCTGTCCCCATCCTCCACTGGCACCCAACCTGACGATCCCCGTGAGAAGTGTTGTCTTTACAAACCATCCCCACTCCCCCCACTTTACACAGCTCAATGGAGTGTTGTCCTTTAGCCCATCCTCAGGTGACCTGTGCCCAGGTCACTGATCGCTGTGTGTGTTGGCGGTAGATCGGGGAAGAGAGGGTCACAGCTGGTCTTTGCTATGTGCCTTCCCCATCCTGTCCCTCAGCAAGTTTGCAGGAGCCTTGGGAGATGTTTCTCATTGCTCAAGTTTTGTGGCTTCAAGAAGTTTATAGAAAGGAAAACAGAAAGAGAAAGTCTAGCAACTGGAACACACCAACAAGCCAACACACACGCCAACCAACAAGCCAACACACACGCCAACCAACAAGCCAACACACACGCCAACCAACAAGCCAACACACCCACCAACCAACAAGCCAACACCCACCAACAAAACAACACACCCACCAACAAAACACACCAACAAACACCTTGAAAGTTGGCCCCTGAGCTCCTACAGACGTCCTCCAGGAACTTATAGAGATACGGCTTCAGCACCTCCGAACACTTGTGATGTGCACTCAGGATGTAGAGCATCCTCCAACCCCGCAGAGAACTGTCACTGACAGACACAGGCATCAGAAACGCGCCAAACCACAACCGGGAAGAGGGGGATGGGCAGGTGCGGGGAAAGTGCTCCACAGCACAAAACAAAATTGGCTGAGGATCAGCAATCCAGCTCGAAGCATTGGAGTCTCCAGTAACTGGACCAATCACTATGGCAACGGCCCCTTTATAGCTCTGTATGTCGAAACATCTCAAAGAGCTTTGATGACAATTATTGTCAGGTGTAGTAATGGAGGGGGAGGCGGGGGGGAAGAGTAATATGAATGGGAGGAGATGGTCCTTCAGCTGGAACAAAGCCCCTACTGTGAGTCCCAGCTTGTAATTGGGGAGGAGGGGGGGGTTATTGATTGACAGGTGGCAGTGTTAGTGATTGACAGGGGGCAGGATTAGTGGATTGACAGGGGGCAGGGTTAGTGATTGACAGGTGGCGGGGTTAGTGGATTGAAAGTACAGTTTCCTTACACTTTGGAGCTGGTGTTGTTGGTGACCTGTTTGATGATCTGACAGTAAGCTTCGTCTTTCATCACCTCGTGCTCCCTGCACAGCTACAGGGAACATACAAACACACAACACTGTGACACAGCCTTCGCTGGGCTCTGGGGAAATGCTGTCCTGCACTGAGAGGACCTCCTGTGTCCACAAGGAACCAGACTCCAATTCCTGTCACCTGGTAGCCCTCAAGGCAGTGGGCTGCATTGGAAACCAGGTCCCAGAGGGACAATATAACCAACTGTTGGCATGTGATCCCGCCCCAGACCAAGTGAACACTCCCATCATCCCACTAAACTGCACGTACTCCGAGCAACGAGGGCTTAGAGGTTTTGTAGCTTCTTCTCACATCCCATGCACTTCGCAAGTAATTATAGTCAAGTTCAGTCACTGTGAAGGTAGCCGATTTGCATACAGCAAAGTCCCACACAGAGTTCTTAGTGATTATTTGTGTGTGTGTGGAGGGGGTGGGGGGAGAGGGGGTTGTCAGCCAGGACACCGGGACAAAGGAAACTCCCTTCATTTTCCCAAAGGAGCTAGTGGGATCTCTAACCAGTTACCTTCAGGACAGTGTAGATGGCATCTTGCTCTGTCTGTCCTTTGAGCGGAGAATCCCCCATGAACTTCATAACCACTGCACAAGGGAAGAGAACAGCACTGAAAGACTCACCGTGGAACGGGAAACCTGATGGCCTGAACTTCCCTAATGCTGTCCCTGGTGGAGTTTACACCCGAACACCCCCCGTGCCATGCGGTGGGAAAGCTGCAGCGGACAGCGCCCTGTGACCGGAGCCTGTCACTCTCTGATGGTTGCATCCTGATGGAAGGACTCCATCAGAGAACGGCTGTGGATGTCCTGCCACTCACATGGTACAGCAGCTGGGATATCCGCTCAATCACCCCAGCCGTTTCCTAGAGTCAGGGGCAGGAACCACGGCATTTTGGCGCTGGCTATATAATCACCACCTCACTGATCAGGAACAACAACACTTATACAGAGCCCTTCACGCGGATAAAGTCTCGGAGCTCTAGATTCCAGATGCTGAGCCTGACAGACTGAGTACAAGGCCCAGCTCAATATTAGCTCCCTGTTTGCTAGGACTTTGAACATTCCATTTCACTGAATGAAGTGGGATAGGACCCAGCCAACAAGCGAGGAATCAGCACTCACCGGCAAATATCTCCGCAGCAACCTTGTTCATGTTTTCATCACTGAATTCAATCAGGGATTCCTGGATCGGGGACTGCGAGGGAAATTAGTCAGAAATTAAATTAATACTTATAATAATCCTTGCATTTAATGCAGCGTCTTATCACTCCGTCAAGATATTTCAAAAAGCTTCACAGGATTTTACTGCAACGTGTAATGACTGTGTATTTTGTGGGGCGAGTACGGCAGCCAATCTGTGCCCAGTAACGTCCTCACAAACAGCCACGAAGTGAATGAACAATTTTATCTGGAGGAATGTCGGTCAGAGAGTGAGAGGGACACAGCAATGCTCCCTCCTCTTTTCGAATTGTGCAGTGGGTTCTGTAATGTCCATCTGAAAACACTCATTATATAAAAATAGGAGACCATTCAGCCAGCCCCTCGACCCTGTTCCACCATTCTATAAGATCATGGCTGATCTGTGCCTCAACTCCAATTACCCGCCCTTGCCCTATATCCTTTGATACCCTGACCTAACAAATATCTATCCACCTCAGTCTTTCAGATGTGAATAGATCCAGCATCCACAGCCTTTTGGGGGAGAGAGTTCCAGATTTCCACTTCCCTTGGGGTGAAAGGTACATCATGTCCAGGGCCAACAGAAAAGTGCGACCACACTTGTTCCACAGAATCTGCTGCAAACAGCACCAATCAACCTTCGGCAATTTCCCATGAAACTTCACTCTAACCCACCAAAAATTTGCCCTGCAATTTATGGCAAATATTTCTGCACTTTTACATTGGCCCAGGTCATGTCCCACAAAGTCCCATGAACTGTCCACCGGCTAACAGAAGATTCTACAAATACACTTGGAAGCATTGTGACGCGCCTGATTCCTCTTGAAGACTCCAGTGTCCTACAGGCCAGCGAGTGAGATCACAGCAAGGACCCGCCTCTCACCTTGGTGTATTTCATCATGTCTGTCGGCTCTCTGCTGTCTTTGCCTTTCTTTGATTTCTGCTTGTTGTAATCACTGTAATGAAAAACATTGGTTCATTTCCATCCTGTTTGATTCTTCGCCTTTTACACTCATCACAACTGTGCCTACAGTTGTGCCTACTCCCCAGCATCAAGATCTGTGTTCAGCGTCCTGAACAGTGTCAAGCTTGATGATAGTTATATGGATATGGATTTCAGCATCTCTGTTCTAATTCCAGTGCGAGCAGAATGCTACCCCATTGTCCCACCCACACATCCAGGTCAGGTTAGAGGTTAGAGACAGGTTAGAGACAGAGTAAAGCTCCTTCTACACTGTCCATCCACGTTCCCGGGTCAGGGTAAGAGACACAGGGTAAGCTCCCTCTATGCTGTGCGTCCACACTCCGGGGTCAGGTCAGTTTCCCTCTGACTGGTGACACTGGATACGGTTAGACGTGGAATTGGGGCTTGTTCTCACTTACACTTTCAGCCGGCGAGCCTCACGGAAGTACTTGCTTGCAAATTCGCTCATGGTGTACTGGCTGTCTGGGATTACATTGTCCACGTAATCGCTCACGCCGCCCATTCGCTCACTCGCCAGCGGGGAAACCTGAGGGCAGGGCAGGAAGTCACAGGAAATCCTACGTCAAGATGCAGTTGACAGTTTAAGTATTCAAACATCTACATTTCTCCCTCATCCGACCCACAAGATTGGCTCGGATAAAGACGATCGTTTAGCCTATTTGATCTCAGCTTTCCACAACACCCGCCCCACCTCCCCTCCCCTCATCAAGCCATTTCTCACGTGCCCAGCAGCCTGGCCCCCGCCAGCTTTCTCTGTAACACATTCCGGCTGTTATTGTCTTCTGTGTAAAGAAGCAGTTGCTGGTGACCAAGGTTCTTCACTGTTGTCTCGTCTCCACGACAGGGTTTAAACTTGACGTCCCAGAAAGTCTCTGGTGAACTTTCTCCATTTGTTCTCCCGTCGGCCTCGTTGGAGGAGTTGGACCATCAACTGCGGTCTCAGTTCTCAATCACACAGCCAACAGCCCCCACCCCAACTGCTTCAGGTAGGAATGGTAAAGAGTGTAGCGAGGCAGAGAGGAGTGAGGAGAGGGAGAGAGAAGGGTGGAGTTAGGAGATACAGGAGAGAGAGAGGAGATAGGAGAGGAGTGGGAGAGGAGAAAGGAAGTAGAGAGGGGAGGGAGGGAGCTCCACACCTCGATCTTTCGGTCGAGCTCCTCAGCGGCTGCGGTTGAGGCCACGGCGGCCGCCACAGTGGAGGACACGGCCACCTTCCCCCGCTTGTCCTTTGGCTCCTCTTTCTTGTCGACACTCAGGTGAATGAAGTCCGGCGCCGCCACTGGCTGCACAAACTCCACTGGGAACAGCCCCGAGCGACCGTGGAACGCTCCAAACTTCCAGCCTGGACACAAACAGACAGTATCAGCATCTCACAAGACACTTGGTCACAGCTCGTCTTCTCGCTGTCCGTCCACACTCCAAGGTCAGGGTTAGAGACACAGTAGAGCTCTCTCTACACTGTGGGTCCACACTCCCAGGTTAGGGTTAGACACACAGTAAAGCTCCCTCTACACTGTGGTTCACACTCACAGGTCAGGTAGGTGTTAGATGGATATCGTGGCACAGAACACCATAAACAGGCTCACACCAGGCTCATGCTCCACAGGCAATAGAACATTTGATTCACTCCAATGCACCCGCCCCAAAGTTCACATACCAACACCTCCCAGTTGGGGAAACAGAGACAGGGATCGAGAGTGGAAATCCTGGCTCATTTCTTCCCCCTGTTCGCTAATCCAGAGGTTGTCGAGGACAAATGCAGCATTCCATGTGCAGCCCACGTGTATGTGTGTATATACATGTGCCTTGTGTACGTTTATACACAAGTGCGTGTATAAATGTATATATATGCGTGTGTGTGTGTATGCACAAGTTCACTCTCAAACAGGGAGTAGAAACTCTTGTGTGTCAACCTGCACCGAGATCAGGCAAACTCAAACACTCAACGTGCAGCTGTTGCTCCCAACCCACCAAAGTCAGGCGTGTATCTCTTTAGCTCCTCCATGTACACAACCTTCTTCCTGACGATGCAGCCGTAGCAGTAACCTGGGAAATGGTCACAATATGTCACTGAGCAACCAGGAAGCATTATAGAAACCCACCCCCACTTCCTGAAAGGGGGCACATCAAAACTCAATGCCTTGTAAATCACAGCTGATTTTTTTAGAAAAAACAATAATAATCCCTACATTTCAAAGGGCGCCTTTACTGTGGAAAAGTCTCACAGCACTTCACAGGGAATTGTGAAGTGCAGTGACTGCTTTATTTGCAGGCAAATTTACACACAGCAAGGTTCAATACACAGCCACGAGGCAAATGTCTGGAGGATTATTGACCAGCACAGACATAGGCACAAAGGAGTGTTTGTTTGTGTGTGTGTGTGTGTCGTAAGTGGGTGGTGTGTGAGTGTGGTGTGAGTGTGTCTGGTATGGGTGTGTGTGTATGGTGGTGGTGTGTGTGGTGGTACTGGTGGCGTGTGTGTGTATGTGTGTGTCTAGAAACATGGCAGAAAAACAGCCCTGCTCCACCTTTCCAATGTATCCGGTGCCCATTTCACCACGATACCAGTGCCCACTGTCACCTAGACACTGGGCAGCATCTGCCTTCCTGTACCTCACTCAAGTGCCAGTCAACAAAGAGAACAGGCCCTGGCAGAGAAGGGGAGGGGGGTGGTCACGATAGCCAAGTACAATCCCGTCTTCGCTCACCCTGTCTCCCTGCTCCCAGCATGTGTGTTACTCACCTTCCTCCACACCCTCCATCGGCTGCAAGCGGATGATGTCCCCCTTGTGGAAGCTCAGCATGGCGCTGCTCTCACTGGCCATGTAGCTCTTCACAGCCACCACATAATTTGAGTCCTGGAGAGAGAGAGAGGGCACGGAGAGAGATATTACAGCACTGTGTAAGAGCTGGACACACTCCAGCCGGTTGAGATTGAGGGTGGGTTTGACTTTGCGCCTGGTCTACACACTCTCCATCGGGGTAGAGTGCCCCAATCTTGCTTTCAATTAGAAATCATAAAGTCGCTAGCAAGCTTGCAGCAAACAGCTTTGCCTCATTTCACCAAGGTCCTGCCTACCTCTCACCATTTGCATTGGTCACCCTGACATTTGCTGACGGCCTTCCTTGTTTACATAGGACACCCCCCCTATTTGCCTTTCTCTTGGACCACCCTGTATTGGAGCGCTACCCATCGCTGTAGGTAAAGTTACGATTGAAAGTTCAGTGAGAGCACCGGTCACATTGAGGGGACACAGACCAGGGCTGCACTCACCTTCTTCAGCTCAGTGATGAAATGGTCAATCATGGACTTCACCTGTGGAGCCTTGGAAGAAAAGAGTATCAGCTTCTCGTTGGTTAGGTTGAACTCCAGCATGTTCTTCGAAGGAATCGTGACAAAGAGAACATCGGCATAACTGTAACAGAAACATTAACAATATTGTAGATTTTCATCTTAAATAATTATCTGAAGCAAGAGGGGAATGCAGGATTCTACCTTGAGCAAACCAAGCCACAAATCCAAGAGAACTGGAGGAAGACTTTGGTGCAGAATGGAGGTTATGCAAGTTTGGATAGGAGTCCTACAGTTCAGAGGTTTACCTCTCAAACGAGAGACCTGGGATTGATTCATGGCAGGGCAAAACCTTAAGGCAAATTTCCTTTAGGCAAGATGGTAAATTGAAGTCCCACCTGTTTGTTCAGGTGGACGTTAAAGATCCCTTACCACTATTCGAAAAGAGAAGGGAATTTCTCCTGGTTTTTTGCCCAAAAATCCCCCAAATAAAATTAATTTCATGGCTGTTTGTGGGGAATTGCTTTATGCAATTGTGCTGCCACATTTGCCTACAAAATACACAATCACTCCACTTAACAGTAAATCCTGTGAAGCACTTTGAGACCTCCAGCCAACATGATCAAGCGCCATATCAAATGCAAAGATTATTATTATTATTATCTTTGCTCCCGCCTGATCTCGCCTGTTGGTACCTGTAGCTCCGGAGAACCTTGACGTTCTCGCCTGTTGCACCCCTGGATCTCACCAGCTTCAGTAGATGGACTCCTCTGTGTGAGACGGCCAGGAGCTGCACGCCGGTGCCGACACTGCCCTGCGACACATTCAAATCATCCTCGTCAGATTCCACCTACCCAAAGGTCCCTCCGTTAACCCGTCTATCAGTACAGACAAACCAGTACGTAAGAACAGCCATCGTCTCCAGCCTGTGCCCAGCGCTGGAGACATCAGCTTCAGAGCTGCCCTTTTACACAGGGAATTTCTCATTCTTAATGCCCATTCTCGCTGTGAGAGCATCCCACACAGACATTGCTTTGAAGTATTGGAAGGAGTTTGTGTGGGACTGGAATTCTCACAATTCTTTTAGAAGGAATTAATATCGACATTAAACAATGATGAGCTAAGCCACAGGAAGAGGGTTGGTCTCCTTACCGTGGCCGGGAAGAGACGGGAGAAGTAAACCTCCCAGACGTCTCTGGCTGCCAGCACAATCTTCCTCTTGACAGCTTCCTCTTTGACAGGAGTCGAGGCTTGAATTTTGTTCTCAGCTGTGAATGAGAAAGAGAGAGAACGAGATCCAGTCAGATGACACTACACCCAGATCAATACCAGCCATGATTGAAGCAAAAATCATCAACATGTTTAAGTGAAAATGTGATGTGCACATGAGGGAGAAGAGAATAACGATTTCTTGGACAGGGGAATGGCATGGGTGGGGGACTGTGTGGAACATAAACACCGGCACAGATTAGGTTGGGCTGAAAAGCAGTTGCATTGTTGGGGTTGCTGTCCTTCAAATGAGACATTGAACCGAGGTCCCGATGAGAGTTTCCTAACCCTGCTCTTACCCAACAGAGATCTCATCCTCAGTTGCTCCTCCTTGCTGATCCTCACACAGGTGTCTGACAGAGCATCGCTAAGGATCTGCAAAGAAATCGCACAACATGAAATAAGAAAAAGGAATATTCTGTCCAGGACTGACCGACATAGGAAATCTCCCACATGCAGGCTCCCCTGGTTACTCCTCTCACCTGCCTGAAGATCAGATCCAGGAGCACAGGGCTGCTCACATTGTCCTTAGGATATAAAACCTGGAAGCAACGAGTTGAGAGACAGGTTAAGGTCTGACAGTACTCCCCCGACCGCACCCCCCACACCGACCCGGAGAGAGCCACGCCCTCTCACACAGCACGATCAATACACAGTTCAAGACACTCTCTGCCCTCCCACCAGCCTGTAACTCCCTGCTGGATCCTCTCACTTGTTTTCAAATCCCTTCATGCCATGGCAACTCCCTACCTCTTCAATCTGCTTACTCCCCAACCCACTACTCGCTGCTACTGCTCGACTGACCCCAGCTTCCTGCGTGTCCCTTGTGCCCTTCATCAGTGGCCACGTTTTCAGCCACTACGCCCCAAAACTCTGGAGCACTCTTCCTCTATCCCTCCCTCCGCCTTGCCCCATCTTCAGGTCTTGCCTAAAGACCTTCCTCTTCAACCGTGCCCACAGTTATGCTCTGCCACTGTCAAGCACTCTGGGATGCTACATTGCGTGAGGGGCGCTTTGTAAATGCAAGTTGTTGTTGCTGTTGTTGCCCCCCCCCACCCCGCTCCGCTCGTACCTCTTTGCGGATGTAGAGCTCCCAGGCCGGCCCACAGTAGGTGTAGTATTCCTGGCAGCACGGCCGGTGTAACTGGGTCTGAATCATCTCATCCTCAGCTCCGAGCTCTCTGGAAATCAAAGCTGAGAGAACGTTGAATACTGTTACTGAGAACCCGCTCACAAGAAATACAGTGGCGTTCTTGTTTTTTCCCCAACCCCCACCATTTCCCCATTCTTCCTATCCCATTCAATTATAAGGCCATGTTTGTGAAGCTATGTAATTTGACCCTGCATTATAAGGGATCCACAAAATAAAAATGACTGCCCGTCCCACTTCTGGATCATCAGGTCGCCGCTGATGTCACTTCCTGCACTGAGCAGCACTGTCCTGAATTGTGCAAAGGTGTAGGGGCACACCTGTGCCACATTACCGTAATGTTCACAATCACTACGGTCAGAGCCTCAGTGCAAATTAACAACCCAGGGTTTTGATACGCCACCTTATTAAGTCGTCGAAATGGCTCAAAGGGCTTTGTGTGATTTTACTGTGAAGTGTAGTGACTGTGTTTTGTCGGTGTGGGCAAGGGGGCTGAGGCTGCGGACTGGCACCCACCTCCTGCCAGGGCGGGGTGTCTACCAGCCCCCGCGGGCACTGGGGGTCCACTGTGCTTCAGCTTTGAGCTGCTGACTGGCTTCACCATGGCAACCATCTCCTTGGCCACCTTTTCCTGCGGGAGGCTGGGCGCTGCTTTCTGCGGTTCAAGAGCAACAAGAAGGTGTCATTAGCAAACACAGGGGATTCAAGCCCACATCTATGCTCTTCAGCTTCAGATACTCTCAGCTCCCGACTCAGTCCATCGCACTCTCCCAGCTCTGGGTCAGGAGCTTGAGGATTCGAGCCCTACATTGGGGACTTTGAGCTCACAGTGCAGTGCTGTGGGAGGTTAGAGCACTGCTTTTTGGAGCTACTACACTGCAAATGAGATGTTAAACACATTTCCCGTCTTCGCCTGTCCTCAAATGGATCCGCTAAAGATCCCCTGTCACTATCCAGAAAAGAGAGAGGTTACTCTGGTGTCTCCAGTCAGATGGGAAATGTCCTGACTGAGACTGCAGGAGGAGCTCCAGCACTGCTAAATCACACTGTGACTTGGATCCCTGAATTTCCCCTGGATTTACTCTTAAACTCACGGTCTTAAAAGCTCGGGCTGACTGCTCTCTGTACCTGTGGCACATGTGGAGGGAGACGGTCTTTCAGGATCAGCATGGCCTCCTCGTGAGGATCCACTTTCTTCGCAAAGACCTTCCCGCCCTCCTTTCTGGCAGAAAGACAAACGTGAGTAATTAATTCATGCTCCACACGCCAGCCAGTGCAGTCCCCAATCTCTGCTTCCAGACAGCAGTCAGGAGGGGAGTCTCCACACACACACGCGCCCATTGAGACACACACACTGTGTACCTGAGGGCCTCGGGAGGCTGTTGATGCTGTTTGATGATATCCTTGATGTTGTGAGTGGGCTCCACAATGTGCTGGCAGTTCAACTTGGTGTGATGGACATGCTCCGGCTTCAGGGCACTGGGTTTGGAGTACGGGGTGGGGCCTGTGTGTTTGTAGAGGGGAAAGGGATGCGTTATATTGACAAGAATACCACCAACAGACACAGCACACAACACGATGGCCACTTACTGCTCTTCAATGTTGGTTTCCCTTGTGCAGTGTCAGGACGGACCCCGGTCAGGGCCAGGCCTCCGTTAGCAGCTCCTGTCTGTGCACCAGACAATAAAACAAGACATTTTATCACATTAAGAGGAAGATTGGACACTACCTACCTGGAAGCACGCACATCAGCACGCACACAGGCACAAACACCAGCAAGCGCACGCACACCAGCACGCACTCACACCAGCACACTCGCAAGCAGGCGCATACACACAAGCACGCACGCACACACACATACAAGCAAGCACGCGCACGCACAAAAGCATGCACGCAAGCACGCACCCGCAAGCACGCACGCAAGCACACACCCAGGCACGCACGCTCAAACACACAACCACACACACGCAAACATACATGTGCACATACACACACTTATATACACCCACGTGCACACTTACACACACACAAACTGTGGGTGGAGTATGAGCCTTGGAGTCCAGGCACACTCACATGAGGGCTGACATTGCCACTGGAGAGCTTTCCCATGGAGATACCCAGGCTGGGGGTCAGGCTGGGGTTGGAGACGGTCATTTGCTGTTGCAGGGCCAGAGCCTGCACGGTCATCTGCTGGGCCTGTGGCAGTGAGAGACACGGCACACCTTCTATCTACTGTGGGCAGGGGGTAACTTACTGACAGCACCGCCCCTCCCCACCCCTCCCCATCTCACCCCTCACAAACCTCAACCCTCCCCCACTCACACACACTGACCAGGAGGTACGCCTGGTGGTTGATGAACGCTTGCTGCTGAGACAGGAACTGGTTCTGATCGTAAACTGGAATAAAGAGACAACAACAACAATTACATGCATACAGCACCTTCCCCCTCAGGAGGACATCCCAAGACACTCACACAAGCAGAGAGAAGCACCAGCACGCACGCACACACACACCCAAGCACGCACACACCCAAGCACGCACGCACGCACACCCAAGCACGTGCACGCACACCCAAGCACGTGCACGCACACCCAAGCACGCACATGCACGCACACTCCTACACACACAGCAACATGTCACAAACAGCCAGGAAGCCAGTGACCAATGTTATCTGAGGGATTGACAGCTAGTACACCGGGAGTGAAACACCCTGCTCTTGTTGAACAGCACCACAGTATCTTTAACATCCATTTGAACAGGCACAGATGGGACCTTGGTTTGATGTCTCATCCGAAGGTTGGCATCTCCGAAATGCAGCAACCCCTCAGCACTGCACTGGAGCATCAAATTCCTGATGTGGGAGGGCTCAAACCCACAATTTGATGACTAAGAGGCGAGAGTGTCACTGAGCCAGGCCAAAGCACAATCATATAAGGAGGAACGAGCTGTGCCGAGCACGAGTGCAGCCTATTACCTGGCACGAAGGGTACTGGCTGGATCCCAGGCATTGCTGCCCCCATTGCAGGCATCATTGGCATCACTGTGGAGGCAGGAAACAGGCCCCAGATATTATTCACCAGATATTTCATTGGGAGAGGGGGAACATGACTGTACATTTCTCCATCCTCTCTGACCCTAGCACAAGTTTCTCCCCTTTTGATCCTCCAGGACTGACAATGGTTAATGCAACTGTATCTCCCTGTGCTTTGCCAGTAACTCAACAACAACATCTTGCATTTACACAGCGCACTTCATGTAGGGTAACATCTCAGAGAGTTGCACAGTAACACAGCCAGGCACTGAGCAAAGGGGAGGAGGGAGGTGACTCCACCAGTGCGATTGAAGAGGTAGGTTTTAAGGTGGGATTTAAAGCCAGCCAGCACCCCAGACAGACTGATCCCCAGACAGACAGACAGCCAGTCACCCCAGCCCAGACAGGCAGACAGCCAGCCCCCCAGGCAGCCAACCCCCACAGCCCAGATAGACAAATAGAGACCAGGGTCACCATCACACTCACACCCTTGTCCCCCTCTGTACAGTGCCTGGATCCCTCTCATATGCACCATGGACACCCCAACTCTTCCACTCCCTTCCTCCGACAGTCACCTCCCTCAGACCTGACACCCCCCCAACACACACACACACACACACAGTCCCTCTGTATAAGGCGACCAACACTCTGACCTGTCTGACCTCCCGGTGTCTGAACCTCTGGCCCTGAGCTCCTTTCTTCTCTGTCTGCGTCTCCAGCTCCCACTTTCCCACCTCCCTTCAATCGGTTCGACACAGAGGACGTCTTTTCCAAATCCTGGATAACGGAAACCAGAAAGAAATGTTCGAGAGCCTGCTCCCAAGACCCCAACCCTTCACAGCTTGGAGGGGAGGGGGTTTGAGGGGGGTGTGGGGAGTGAGGAGGTGGGCCGTGAGGGGGAGGGGGAGTGAGGGGGTGGGGGAAGACGAGATCCTGACAGCGCCATGTCTAATTGCTGTGGTTACACTGCCGGCGGGATGCTTCTCTCACCCCATTTCCATAGGATAGAAGTGGATCAAAGAGACTGTCGAGGTAGCGGTCCAGCCCTTTCTGAGAGCGAGAGTCCAGGTCTGTCAAAAACACAGGAGAATGTGTCACACTGACCAAGCCTCCCCTCTACGCCAACTCCCAATTCCAGACCCTCCCCCAACCACAGCCCCCCTCCCAACTCCTCCTCCCCCCAAACCCAGCACTTCCCACCCAACCCCAGTGCCTCTCCCCTCCCCCACCGCACTCCGAGCCCCAGCCGCCTCTCACTCACCCTGTCTTAAGGATCCAGAGTAATTCTCGTCTGGGTCGGGCGTGCCGGGGGGCAGCTCGGTCGGGGCCTTGGTTGAGGGGAATGGAGGGATGTCGTCATCTGAATCCAAACCGTTTCCAAACACACTGCGGCCACAAACACAGTCACTACATTCCTCTCTCTCAGACACAATCACTACACTCCTCTCTCAGACGCAGCAGACAACTGGTACTGAATATGAAGTAACACCCAGCAGTTATTTTATCCCCACTTTAGATCACACGTGAGGTTTAGGAACAAAGCCCTTTGACCCATCGCCCTTGCCTCGAAACAACAGCTTCTTGCATTTACCTCCCCCCACCCAGAGCAGAGCCAGATCTCCACTCTGGGCAGAGCCACACCCCCGCAGGAAAAAGCCACCCGTCCAGAGTGGGGCACCTACACATTCCCGTTGACCTTGCGGCGGGCTGGACTCTCGGACGAGATGAGGAAGTAGGATTTCTGCTTGGGAAAATCCGGCATCAGCTCCAGATCGGACACCAGGTCCATCACATAGTCGTGGCCAGCCAGCTCGGCCCACTCACCCCTGTCCTTCCTCACCACTGACCAGCCTCGGCAGCCTTCCACCGCACCCCTACATCACAAAGACATGTCAGTACAGGGAGAGTGAACAGCACTCAGAGCAGCCCAGCCTGGTCCCCCCACAGCCAGTCTGGGTGTCAACTTAGGCACCGAGACACTTGTTTATAAACAGCCCTCAGGTGTATAATGACTAAATCTGAATCTCTGTATTATCCTTCTCTCCCCACCACCCCCACAATCCCCTCCCACACGCACCTTCTCTCTCCCCCACCTCCCCACCCCGTCCCCACCACCAACTATGAATATGAATGTCGAGCTGGGTCAACTGAGGCAAAGTGTCAGGTCCCCACCACATTCCCGTCCTGAAATGCTGACTGCCATCCCGCGCGCTCACTTACCTGTGTCGTAGAATGTCTTGAGCCAGCTCCTCTCCTGTGGTCCAGCAACTGACAGGACCCAGCAGCTTGACCCCTGGATACACGGGACACACAAACTCCTTCAATAACTTATTTTTCATCCCCACTTTCTTCCTTGGCTGGAACCACCCCGCGTCCATGGCTCCCCAGCAGCCTCCTCCCACCAACCCAAACCTTCTGTTTCTGATCGCTCTGAACTAGTGACCTTCCCTCTCTGCCTCATCAATGGAGCTTACAGAGCTCTGCATTCAACCAGCGAGCCAAAGCTCCAACACTCAGGGTGGTGCCAGCTGGACAGAGCCTTGTACTGACAAGCTGTGGGGGGGGTTCAACTTGTTCAAGTTCATCTCAGCACCCGACCTGACCCCAGTCTTGCCCCCAAACGTGCCTCCACTTGGAAGATTTCTAACTCTTGGTTTCTCCCTGTCCACACAGGTGTGCTGTGGCCAGAGAATGAGATACAAGTAGCCAACCCAGGGAAGGCCGGAGGAAACTCACCATCTAAGCAGGAGATGTGCATGGCCATGCTGGCTCCCTTCTTGTTGGCCGTCCATTCCAGTAGACATGGCGGGTAGGTGCGGGCTGCATCAGAGCCATCCCCGGCTTTCCTCAGTGCCTGCATGAGCTTGTGCTGACACATGGCCTTAAAGCCTGTGTGTGCGTAGTCAGAAACAAATCTGTTCGGACAGAGTTAGACAGAAAGTCAGACAGAGAACCAAACAGAGAGCCAGACAGGGTGATAGAACACGGCAATAAGCCATTCGGCCCAAATAGTCTGCGCTGGTGTGTACATTCGTTCCTGTTGCATTCACCCACAAATACACAGTCACTACAATGAATCCTGTGAAGTGCTATCTAACCTGAAAGAACCTATACCAAATGCAAGGATTATTATATAATTATTACTAGTATTACTGATTCTCGTATACTTTGCACTCACTTGAGCAGATACTTGTCCATCTTTGGTGAAGGAGCAAAGCAACTGAGGCAAGTAGCCAGTAGCAGCCATCCTCTCTCGGCGTTGTTCTTGTTGGTGTTCCTCCACACCTGATTGGCTATTTGAGAGAAAATTTCGTCCCGCAGCCCGGGGTTGGCCAGACCTATCTGCAAGATGTAGTTTCCAAACAGGTTTTCTTGAATTCCGTTCAGATGTGGATCACCCATAAACCTCAGGATCTGTTTTTACAATGAACAAGAGAGAGCAAGTGTCAGCTATAAACCCCAGGACCTTCCACAAAGGGGGTTCTATACAGGGAGAGAGTGAGAGAGGGAGCAAAGGACACAGTGAGCAAGCGAGGGAAAAAGGGAGCAAGCAGGGAAAGGAGGGAGCGAGAAGGAGGAGGGGATACAAGTCGAACCTCACATGTAAACCTCAGTTCTCAGTTGTCTCGGGCTCTCTTCACTGACACTCACCAATCTGAAGACATTTACAGCTTCTGGTTTCAAATCCTCTTCCACCTGAGTCAGAGGCTCATCCAGTGGAGATGTCAGCATCCCTAACAGAGGCTCCTACACAAAGCAAGACACACTCCCTAGTCAGTGACAGCACAACTTAAGAGACTCCTTGATCAGGGTAAGAGACACAGTAAAGCTCCTTTTACACTGTCCATTCACACTCCTAAGTCAGGGTTAGAGACACAGTAAAGCTCCCTCTACACTGTGTGCCAACACTCCTGGGTCAGGGTAAGAGACACAGTAAAGCTCCCTGTACAATGTCCGAACAATGTCTCTTTATCCTTTATTCATCTGAATTCATGACTCTGGAGTTGAATTATTATCCTAGCAGTTAGCTCCAATTTCTGGAAATGGAAAATGTCCTTATTCTCAAATATCACACATTGTCCCCACTGTTTCGCAGAAATGCTTAGATCCCCAGAGGTTCCAGCCATTTACAGACTGAGGGATCAGCGATGACGAACCTTAAAGTGAAGCCGGACAAATTTGGAGAAGGGATAGTTGTTGATATCGAGCACCAGGGTCAGCTGCTCCTCCGCCTGCACCTTCGGAGATTCCACCTGCCCCACTGAGTCCTCGCTCTGAACTGCAGAATAACACAGGCCACCGTCAGCACACAGACTCTGTGTGTGTGTGTGTGTGTGTATGCAGGTGTGTGTGGGGGGGTCTACACGGGAAACCAGAAACGAACCTCAGTCACTGATGTCCAGCATTGAACCAACCAATGGGAAAGTTACACAACACCTGGAAAAGCTGTCAACTACAACAATTTGCATTTATATAGCGCCCTTCACGTGGGGTAGTGTCCCAGAGAGTTTCACAGTGGCAGAGTCTGACAATGAGGCAGGGGGAAGGTGAACGTAAGCACAATCAAAAATGAATGTCTTTAGGCGGGATTTGAAGGTGGGGAGTGGGCAAAGCAGATGGATTGAGGGAGAGAGTTCCAGAATTTCGGGGCCTAGTGGTGGAAAAGGCACAGCCACCGATGGTGGAACGAAGGGGATGAGAGCCGGGAAGTGACTCAAAAGGAAAGCTGGGGATTGAACCTGACGCCAAAGGTGCGTACGGATTCAGAGCATCTGAATGAGAACCCGGGGAAGTTGAGTTCAGACCCGCAAGAGAGAAGACGAGAGCCAAAGAGTTGTCAGTCAGCTGTCAGCCTGACTCAGCTCAGTAGCACTCTCGCGTGGAGTCACCGAGTTGTAGTTTGAAGCCCCACGTCGGGGACTTTTGAGCTCAGTCTAGGCTGACGCTGCAGTGCAGTGCTGGGGGGAGCGCGGCTGCAATTTTGGAGCAGTGGAAGGTCCTTTGGATGAGACATTAAACTGATGTCCCGCCTGTGCCTGTTCAGCAAAGATCCCATGTCACTATCAGAAAAAAGGGAGTTTTTCCCCGTCTCCAGGTACAACAATCCTCCAGATAAAATTGGTCGCTCAAATATGGCTGTCTGTGGGACATCGCTACATGCAAATTGGCTGCCACGTTCGCCTACAAAACAGTCACTACACTTCACAGCAAATCCTGTGAATTGCTTTGAGACATTTCAACAATATAAGGTGCTATATCAAATGCAAAGATTATTATTAAAATATCTAATACACACATATATATATATAGAGAGAAAGATCTATACTGCGAGAGAGAGAGAACACACACATGTGCATGTAGTTAAGAGAGAGATGAGTGTAAGGTAGAGTTTGTGATTGTTGCGAGGTCAGGGCACTGGGTGACTCAGTGAGACATACCGGGCAAGGCGTGCAGTAACCCAGCCAGCTCAGCAGGGATGTCCAGGTGGGTAACACTCACCACCTCTCTCTTAGTCAGTTCCTGACAGAAAAAAAACATGATCAGTTCCTGACAGAGCACAGTAACGACACATACAGAGAATAACAGAGGCTGTGAGCCGGGCTATACCTGGCTCGGCCTGAGCACGAGAGAGGGAATAGTTACCATCTGCAGCCTCTGGTGCTCCTGCTCTGCCAACCTCCGAGCTTCCTCCCGCATCTGCACAGAGAGGGGAGAACATCAGCGTGGTTCAGTGATGTCCACACTGTACCTAGCACAACTGTCAAACTACGATGGGAAAGAGACCAATGTAGAGAGCGTTACTTGGTTAAAGTTCCGCGGGTTTATTTACTCAGACCTGTGAAGAGCTTCGAGACGCTTAAACGAGGTAATAAGGTGCTATATCGTAATAAACGTTTCTTTTTATTATTATTATTCAGCAGTCTGGCTGCTGTGGTCCTTACCCGCAGAAACCTTTTGCGATTCACATATGCCTGCACCACAGACTTCACCTTCAGCAGACTTTCCTTCACCTTTTGGTACTTTTTCCTGCGAGAAAGAAAACGCAAAAACTTAGATTCCCTCTGATCTGCTCAGTAGTTATCTCCCATGGCACACCGTGGGGCTGCCCCAAGCCTGGACTCTCACCAACCTGCGTCTAATACTCTGGAATTAAGTAATGCGGTGCATCACTCCAAGGAGAGAGAAAGGGAAAGATGGCACGTTCCTTTTCAGACACAGAGAGTTGTCCATGTATGTGGGTCTCTCAGTCAGGTTTTGGAGACACTTAAGCACGACGACGGTTTTTCATGATCAAAAGAAAATGGTTATAACCAGAGAGATTCACACACAAACCCATAGCGCGTTTGTGGTGGTCACACTCCACACACAGCCTGACCCTCCACTGACAACAAACAACAACAAAATTACATTTGCATAGATAACGCCTTTCACGTTCGGAGGACGTCCCAAGAGTTTTTAGAATCCCTGCCCCCCCCCCAGTGACCACGAGGTGTTTGCCCCTCCAAGTCCAACCGGCGAGCCAGGCTGAGGGTCTGACATCAGTGGTGTCCTGAAGTACTGCGGACCCACAGCTGAGGAACCGAACTTCCGAGACCACGGCAGAGGGTGGACTCGATTCCGACATTCCGTTGCCAAGCGCACTGGAGCCAGATCTGTGCGTGGTATACCTGGCGAGGTAGCCTCTGGCTTGAGCCTGGAGTAGGATAATCTTGTGCCGGAGCACGTTGTAGTGTTTCCTGGCGAGGAATCCCCGGGCGTAGCGCTGGAGCGTCAGCGCCGCGATCTTCATCAGCCGGTCTCGCTTGCTGTCCAGGATATGGTGCAAGTTCTCCTTCATGAAGAGCTGCAAACACACCCAGACACCAGTGATTCCTTCCCTCCACACTGCAAATCTACCAGCTCACTGAGAATGACAGCAACACACAGAACACATTCTCCGCTCCCTCTCCACACTCAATGAGCATGGCATCCTGACAGTCCCTTCCCCGAACCCCAAAACCTAACCACCTAGCTCTTGGTCAGCTCCCCGTCCCTCATGCACAGTGACCAACACCACCCCTGCGCCCCCCACACACCACTGTGAAGCGCTCTGAAACATTATCCTACGTGAAGGTGCAAAATTAATGGAAGTTGCTGTAATAGCCAGGAGGGAGTGCTGCGGGGGGGGGGTTCTGATCAGACCTTGGTGAGTCCAATGCGATACATCCCTTTGTTGACGGGACAGATCTGCTTCAGGATGGTCACACAGTTCTCCCCGTCTGCCTTGATCTCCTGGGTGAGGCCCAGTAAAATCTTGTACCTGTGAGTGCGGGAGAAGGAGAAAGACTTTGTGTTGTTTGTATAAATTCGTCCGAGTAAAGACTTGAACCTCAGAGAGCCAAAGCTTCTAACTCCTCCTTAATTCCACCATCGGTGGGAAGACCGCTTGAGGTGTCATTGGGGTGTCAGACTGTGTGATTCCAAGTCCCGACGTGGGGGCTTCAACCCCCAATCTTCTAACTCAGGCAAGAGCGCTACCACAGCGCCAGACTAACACACAGAACCAGGCTGACACGTCAGCGCAGACATGAAGGACCATATGGCCTGTTCGTGTGCTCTGTACATGGCAGGATCACACCAGGATTGTATGATCTGGACTGGATTGAAACTCAGGCCCGGAGACGGTGGGTTCCCTCACAACCACCCATTCACTAACCCCAAACAAAGCTCTGGGAACGTTGAAATTGAAGCTGTTCCTCCAGCAAGAGTGACTGAGCCAGCAAAGCTTCACACTGACCTCTTGATGAAGGTGGCGAATGGGATCCGGACCGGGAATCCTTCCTTCCGAATCCGGATGGTCTCCAGCACCCCTGAGTACCGCAGCTGGGCACTGACCAAATCCAGCTCAAACAGGTCCATCTCCTGCAGACAGCGGGCAAAGCACCATCAGTCAGAAAAGTCACAGGGAGGGCAGACAGCGCCCGAGCGAGGGAGTCCACGGCCTGCAAGAGTAACTAAGCCCTGAGCGAGGCATGAAAATCATTCATCTAGCTCAGGGCGGGTCCTAGCAGCTAACAGTGGTGGGGGATTATAGCCTGAGATGTGCTGTACATATTCACTTATTGAAGTTGCAGTTTTCCTCTCCTGTTCACAGAGCTCCTCTCAGTAGCCCTCCAGATCTTTGTAAAGCCAAGAGGGCTGCAGGGTGGGAGGGAAGAGGGGATTGAGTTAGAATCTTAATCATGGTTTCTATTTACCTTTTTGTTGTTTGGCTTGAAGCAGCGGACAAAGAAAGGATTACACCTGGAGAGGAACAGAAAATAATAAGATCAGCACCATCACTATACTAGCTCTGCCCTGGTGGAGAAGGCAACAACAAAATTACATTTGTACAACGCCTTTCACGTCGGGAGGATGTCCCAAGGCGCTGGGAGCTGCTGCTCTTTGTAGATGAACGCAACGTCATTTTGTCACCTGAGCCGTGGGGGGAGGGGGAAATCACTATCCAGTGATCCATTCTCCTCTCCCCAGCCCCCACCCCCTGGAGAGTGTGGATACGGATATCAGGCAGGGATAAGATTAGCTTTGTTGTTCTGTGGTGCTTCCCCTTCACAATAACAAATGACATTTGTTTAGGGCTTTTCTCGTCAGGAGGACATCCCACATCCTCTGATCCCCCAGTCAGGCCCACGCTGGCTCCTCGCACTCACCTCTCCATCTTCTCCACTAGCTCCATCAGCGACTGTTGAAACTTGGCAGCCACGGTGGGAGCCTGGTACCTACGGGTGATGGTGCTGCTCTTCATTGGCATCGCCTTCACGGCGTGTCCGGAAAACAGGCTGACCAGCATCTAGCACAGACACACAGAGAAACCTCCTCACAGACAGCTCAGCTCAACTCGCTCCATATGCCACATGGCAGCCGGGCAGGGGGGCCGGGGGGGCTTGGGCCGTGCTGGGAGGCTGGAACACCACTTGGATTCAGACGTCTTGTCAGTATCAACCTGGGAGCCTGGTTGCACATTAATGGGAAATGAGGTGGGAGTCTGGTTACCAGGGGAGACAGAGGAATGGGGGCTCCTTCCCCTTGAATGTTTACAGTAAAGATCTGGACCTGTATCTGGGGCTGATTGATGCCCCAGATTGAGTGCTTCATTTATCCCCTCACCACAAGTGAGGTCTGATCTCAAGAGCATTCAACAACAACAACTTGTGTTTATGTAGCGCCCTTCACGCCCTCCAGTGAAGGAGAAAATGGAGTTTCCAGGCTGGGCTGGACCAAATCAGCCCGTCCACAGCTACCCCCCAACTACCGCTACAAGCAACCCGAGCGGCCAGGCCGGGGCCAAAGCCAGAGCCCAGTGAGGCCGCCTCACCCTGGTCCTACTGCTGACAAACAGCTCCAGGACTTCCTGCCGCACTTGATCGTGGTTTTTCTCCAGGAATTTGTGGACCTGATAGGAGCAGAGGGAAAGAATAAATCAGCCGCTTTTCAGCCCTCCCCCGGCTCCCCTCCCCCACAGGCTGTCCAAATCCAAAATTTATTTTAAAATTATTTTAAGGAGAAAACCTCTGATTTGGCAATACCCCGAGTGTCACTGTGTGGGTAGAAATGATTTGCGTCTCCTTTTCAGAACGCTGATGCTTTTTTTGCTTCAACTTATGTAATAATTAATAATGTATAAATCCGGTGCCGAGGGGTTACCTGGTAAGTCACTTTACCGGCGAAGTGTTTAATGGTGAACTCAGGCAGCGGCATCTTTGGCTTAGAGTACAAGGGGCTGTTGCTGTGGTGATAGTGGCATTTCTGAAGGAAGGTGTGATCCGTTGCCTGTGCCAAGAAAGAGTAGGGAATACAACAGCAGCAGCAGCAAAAGCAACAGCCTCAACAACAACCTCAACACAACAATGTTTTTAATGACCTTTATCAGACAACACTTCACCTTCTTTACACTCTCTCACTCAAAATTGTCACATTAAAAACCATAGAGACAGAGCGACAGGCAGACAGACACACATACAGCAAGTCGCAGCAGAGAGGGAGACGGAGAAAGAACCAGAAATTTAGAATCATACACAAATGAGATGGAGAGGACCAAGAAAGTGATAGGGAGGGGAGGCCTCAGGAGAGCCCCCCTACTCACTCACAGACCTGGGGGAAGCAGCTTTGGTCATCCAGCACCCTCAGGATCCCGTGAGGCCTTTGTGAGATTAGATCGAGGCAGGGCTGATTATTACTGAAGGTAATCTCCTTCCAGTCAATCTGTTCTCTCATGTACTCCTCCTGCACGAGGAACACACAAACATGCAAGAACATTTCACATGGAAACAACACCTACAACCTACATTTAGACTGTGCCCTTCATGTAGGATAATGTCTCAGAGCGCTGCACAGCAGTGGGGTCGGACACTGAGCAAGTCAGAAGGGGAGGGGGTGGTGACTATAGGCCCAGTTGAAGAGGGAGGTTTTTAGTTGGAATATAAAGATGGATCAAGAGGAGGCGAGAGGAAGCAGTAGATGATGGAGTTTCCAGAGATCAGACAATCAATGCTGTTAGAGAAAGAGGATAAAAGCGATAGAACAATTTGCCTTCAGTAATATCAGCAAAAGGTCTGACCTGTTCCACCTTGAAGACAATCTTATTGAAAAAGTACTGCAGGTACTCGTTAGCATAGTTAATGCAGAGCTGTTCAAAGCTGTTAATGCTGAGATCCTGGAAATAAAGAAAGCAAGTGGGTACAAATGGTTAAGCCTGCAGATGAGGAGAGTTCACTAGACAGATCAGGAGTGTTAACATGACTGATTTTTCACCTCTTTAGCCCAGGTACACTGAGGCCAATACGAACACTCCCTCTGGCAGTTAGCCAGAGATCAGTGAGTTACAGTCACCCTTGTACAAACAATGGTCACATCACACTCACTACACCAAACACAACAACAACTTGCATTTATATAGCACTTTTCACGCTGGGCAGTGTCTTGGATCAGTGAAAATGTATGTAAACTCTATATCTAATTTTCATTCTCTCCCCATTTCTTACCTCAAATCCATAAATATCCAGGATAGCTATGGACAGGGACTCGGTTCTCGGGGAGACCAGCTTGTTTATTCTGTCAGTCAGCCAGCTGAAGAGCAGGGAGTAAAGGATCTTGGCAACGGCATCTCTGGAAAGAGGTCAAGCAATTGGGAAACAAGCACATGGGACAAGCTTTGTTCACATTAATACTGGGGTCAGGCACAGGGTTGGGAGAGATCAGGTGATGCCCTCCCACATCCCACCATCACAGGAACTGCTCACACCCTGATACACACACTGCCACATCACAACAGCCACTGGGAGTCTACTGTGCACCATGTACTCAGGGTTTACAGCACAATTTACATTTATACAGTGCTTTTCACATTGGGAGGATGTTCTCAAAGCGCTTTTCACAGTTTGGGCACCTAAGCTGCATGTGGGGGGGGGGGCTTAATTATGTAATTCACAACAAGGAGGATTTATGAATAATGCGGTTATTGATAAATAATTAGGTCATTCCCTCTGTACCAAGGTTTACTTCCTACCTTATTCCGTTCATTGCACCAATGTTCCCAATATTACTTCCATTCCCTCCCCATTAAGACATTCCCCAATTTTCATGCCATTTTTCCCCATGATTGTCACACATTCCCTTTGCTGGAATCTCCAGCCTCCACATCCCAAAGCAACAACACCCTACCCTAAACGGAGGATCGTGTCTCGAAGCACAGCACAATGACAGAGCTGGATGGACGAACAAATGGTGTGCGCACACACAGACATGCGTGCTCACGCACACACACAGACACGCAAGAGCTCACACACACCTGATGCACGCGACTCCTACCTTGCGTCGACCGCGCTTTCCACAGTCAGAGGGGTGAAGATCTTCTCTCTCATGGTTTCCTGAGGGCGAGAGGTGGGTAACAAATGCACCGTGACCCCTCAGTGGGAAATCCAAACCACATCAGTTGTTCTACTGCTGGCTCCCCACCACTCAGCGATGGATTTAGGATTCTGATACTCACATTCAAGTGCCCTCCATGGCCTCGCTGCCGCCCCCACCCCCACTTTGTGACCCTCCCCTCCCCCTGCAACCCCACTGCCCTAGCCACAGCCCCATCCCCATTCTGCCAGATCAAAGTTTGGGTTTGGTAAAGAACGCCCTTCACATGATCATAACCCCCTCCCCATAACTGTCCTCCCATCAAAGTGTCGAGCTTTTATTGTAAATGAGTCCCAGCGTTGACCACCCTTCCTGTGTCTCCCCAAGATACTTCCTGGTGTCTGTCCTGAAATTGCACATCATCACCCTGAACCTGCGACCTCTTGCCCTGCTGCGGGGGCAGAATGGCTGGCAGCTCACGCCCTGATGGTGGGTGGATCAGGCCAGTGGTGGCTGTGCGGCGGGAGGAGCAAGGACGGTTGGGTTGCAAGAGGTCACAATGGAGGGATCCAACATAAGGGAAATGTACCCCGTAATGGTAGGGAATAAGGAGACGCAAGACCTTCAAAGAAGGAAGGGATGAGCAGGCTGGCAGACGAGGAGACAGCTCTCATTACAGTTAGGGCTTACCGTCACTTTGTAGGTGATGGATTTCTGCAGCCCCTCGGGGGAGATCTGCAGGAGCTCAGCCACCACGCGGATCTCACGAGCACTCACCACGGACGCAATCTCCTGCGAGTCTGTCTGCAACAGAAACAGGGACAAGCATAAGGCTGTGAAGGGCAGCTGCATCCATCCTGCATCCAACAGTAAAGGAAATTTATCTGCTGTTCTCCCTCATATTCCCATTCTTTGGAACTCTATCCCGGAATCCCTCCCGACTCTCTTCATCCCTCCTCTCGTTCAAGGCACATCTCAAAATGCACCTCTTTGACAGCGCTTACAGTCATCTATCCTCTCCCCATCCTCCCTCTCAGTTCCCACCCCAACTCAGGTGCAAGGATTATTATTATTATTATCTTGAATAAACTCTAACAATAAGTGCCATTAGTCTATCAGTCTCGTGCCCCGGGATTGATCCACACTTAAATCCAACATCTCCAATCCGATCACAGGACGCACCTCATACTTCTCGAAGTAGACATTCCCGAGGTGAAGGACAGAGGATAGGATGCGAAAGATGCCGCTCTGCTCCTCACTGCTGAAGCCCAGCACCTCCATTGCACTGAGCAGCCGTCGGAAATCCTCCCCGTCCTGTTTCCCAGGAATCTCACAGTTCCCGCCCTGTAGCGACAGCAACAACAGTGTGAATTACTCCACTGTTTACGGTACATTGCTATAGGCACATTGGCTGCTGCATTTGCGCACAAAATACAGTCCCTACACCTTACAATATATTCTGTGAAGCGTTTAGAGACGTCCACCTGATGTGAAAGGCACAGTGTCAAATGTAAGGATTATTATTATTAAGATATCGGCCACGTTTTGCACAATGCTCTTCACCTCTGCAGCTCACCTGGTCACCATAAGGTGCTCACCTGGTTCAGGTAATAGTACGTCTCAGCCTCCTGCAGGTAGAACCTCTGTTTCTGTTGACTGGAAAGCCCAGCCAGAAGCTCGTAGAAAATGTGATAATTTCTTTCATTTTTGGCCTGAAAAGAGGAAACAACAACGATCGGTTCAATCTCAGAACTTCAAGGCAATTCCCCCTCGTCTGCTCCTCCCAAGGAACAGACTCTCCGGGGGCACATGGACTCTCACAGCTATCACGCCTACTTCACCACTGCGTTCAGACAGGGACATCAACAGGCTTCAACCGTGTAAGCAGTCCAGCCAAGCCCCTATCTGACTTCACCTGACAACCCACAAATATACACACAGTTAGAGAGACACACACATAAACACAGTGGGAGAGAGACGCACACAGTGAGAGAGACACACACACACAAACATATTGAGAGAGACACACACAGTGAGAGACACACACACAGTGAGAGAGACACACACACACACAGTGAGAGGGAGAGACACACACACACACACACAGTGTGAGGGGAAGAGACACACAGTGTGAGGGGGAGAGAGACACAGTGTGACTCAGAAGCAGCTGTAACACAGCACTTGCCTGAAACACAATCCTTGACTTCTCAAGAAGATACTGTGAGGTTATGGCACCGCATATCACCCCACTGCAAACAAGCAGATGTTTACACATGCTTTCTCACTGATAAATAAACCCAATACCCAAGGGGTGGGGGGGAATAGTATGGAAGGTGTGAGCAGGGATTGATGGGGGTTTGGGGGGGTGGGGGGGGCGAGAAGAGTTACGGGCGTGAGCCCCTCCCCTGGCTTTGGTTGCACTACACAGGGAGAGTTTGTGGGGGTGGGGAATTCAACATTTGCAGTCACTTAGTGTTGGCATTGAGAGCAGATTGCTGGCAAAGTACTGGATATAATAATAATAATCCTTGCATTTGACTTAGCGCTTTTCACATCTTCTCAACGTCTCAAAGCGCTTCACAGAATAGACTGTAAAGTGAATTGACTGTATATTTATGGACGAAACGCGGGAGCCAATTGCGCACAGCAGTGTCCCACAAATAGTCGTGTATTGAGTGACCAAATTATCATTGTTTTTTTCTTGAGGGATTATTATCCCCGGAAAAGCGATCCACCAATCGACTAACAACCAGGTCCTTACTTACTGCTAGGTAAACAGAGGCGTGTGGAGTAAGGAAACTTGCCCAACGTTTCCCCTGTCGGGAATTGAACCCAGGTCTCTCGATTGCAAGGCGAGTGCTCTAATCACTGAGCTACTGGTTTACAAATGGCAAGCTATGTGGTTTTAGCCGGATAGACTCCAGCAGTTACCCCAACGCACACTCTGGGGTCCCCAAGCCTAGGCTTGCGCCAACCTGTGCCTAATACTTTCCGGAATAAGGTAAGCATTAATAAGGTAAGATGTATTCCTCCAGAGAGAGTGCGCATTCCATTTCAACAATCAATCTCTGGGATTTCCATGTGTAGGTGGGATGCATGAAATTCTCAGTTTGGTTTGGATACTTGAGCATGGTGATGGGTTTCCACATGTCAGACACCCAACTAACCAAAAAAAATCAATTCCTACATTTGATACCTGACAAATTTGCCCTTCCAATAAATATTGGAGTAGATTGGTTATTCCCTCAATTTCAGATTTCAGGAATTTAACAACAGCAACTTGCATTTATATATCAGCAAAGGGGCAAAGGAACCCTCATCAGAACTGACTCAGGATGGTGACGGAGGGCGAGGAGAAGGATGGACGGACAGACGGGGCGGGGGGAATAAAAGGAAATTACCAGGAAGGAGACCCAGATTAGCTGTAATACTTACTCCTCCAAAAAGATTTCGATGTACTTCCCGAACCTACTGGAGTTATCGTTCCGCACAGTTTTGGCATTTCCAAAGGATTCCAGAAGGGGAGTCGCTTCCAGAATCTGTTCGTGAAAGGGACAAAGTGAAGACGGCTCCTTCCTCCAGAACCACACACAGGCTGACCTCAGGGCAATCTCATCCCTGCCCACCCCACACACACACACACACACACACACACACAAACACACACACCCTCACGGGGTGAGCCAGCCAGCTGGTCGGGGAAGTCCGTGTACAGAGTAACTGATCCTGGGGATTCTCAAAGGTTGGGAGCAAGTTATGATGTTCAGTGGGAGATGTGTTATTTGCTGGGTTCCTTCTCCGAGATTCAAATGATTTTGCCTTCAAATACAGAGTCACTACACCTTACAGTAAAATCATGCCAAGCTCTTTGAGATGCTTTGAAGAGGTGATATAAGGCCATGTACTGAAGGTAAGGATGGTTTTGATTTTTAGCATTTATGTGTAGAATAATGGGGAGTCAGATACCATCAGGTAATTGATGGCCGAGACTGCGTTCAAGGCAACGGCACGATAATCCACACAGGGAGAAAACGGCACTTTAATTAAATATTAATATAGAATTATAGTCAATATAGTCGGCATTAAAGTCTTGATCATCAAAAGATGTCGCTGCTCAGTCAGTAATCTGTCAGGATTTACTTTAATGAGGGATCGTCACCAATGGCATCAACAAGGAAGAGGTTTACTCAGGCTTTCTGCTTCACACTAAAGCTACACGCACAAGGCAACCAGTACTGTACCTCAATCTGCCCGGAGGCGAGGCAGCGGGTGGGAAAGAGGCAAAAGGGAGAAAATTAAAGCCCAACAAATGCAACGAACACACAATCACATTGTCAAAAAGACTGTTGCAAACGTGGGGTTACTGATTATTATTATTGAGCGTGAGTTGTATAAACTGTGTGTGCGGAGGACCATTCAGTTGCCTTAAGTTACATAATTCAACAATGAAAAGCATTTATTATTAAACCCACGAGATGGTGGTTAATGACATATGGCAGCCTAGCTCAGTGAGTACCGCTCTCGCCTCTGATTCAGAAGTGTTCAGGTCTCACTTTAGGGTCTTTGAGCTCACAGCATAGGCTGACGCTCTTGGTTTTATGTCTCATCCAACAACACAGCCCTGTCCAGCTGGAACCAAGGTCCCAACCTTGCCTGGTTAGGTGCCTGTTAAAGATCCTGTGCGCTATTCAAAAAGAGTAGAGAAGTTTCACCCCTTGTTTTGGCCAACAATCCCCCAGATACATTTGGTCATTCACTTCAAACTGCACAAATTGGCTGCCATGTTCACCAACAAAATACACAGTCACAACACTTCACAGTAAAAATCCAATGAAGTGCTCTGAATCATCCACCTGATACGGTAGGTGCTGTATTAAATGTAAGGATTATTATTTTTGGTTGTTACTATTGATTACTATTATTGATGATATCAATGACATTATTAAATTCTCGCTGAGCACATGGCACATAATGACCAGATTTATCCAAATCAAATAAATAGTCCTCCTTGATAAAGACAAATGAGGGCTTGGTTATAGAATAGCCGAGGCCGCCAATGTCTCAGGTTACCTGCTGAGTCGCGTTGTCCCTGCGCTTGTGGTGAATTGCTGCCAGGTAGCGAAGGATCAGTTTGGTGGCCTCAGTCTTTCCTGATCCACTTTCACCACTTGGAAAAAAGATCAGAGGAGCAAGTCAGTGCATCCGCCAGGGATGTCCTCCCATAGCAGTAGGAGGAAAACTGGGACTGTTTGTACATGGAGAATTAGGCGGACAGGATGAGGAACGACACCCAATGTTGACCCCAGGTGGGAATGGGACAGTTTAGGATTTCCGTACAAAGAGGGTTCTGCCCCAGCAAAGGCCTTGATGAACTAAATGTGACATTTGCATTTGCCACATCAACCCCCACCCCACCAAGTCAGATATGTGACCATAATCACTTTTACGCTGCCCACTCTGGATGCGTCTGCCCTCACAGACAGCAGACATCCTGCTCAGGGCTGGATTCAGCTCAGGCCCCCAGAGGAGCTCCTGATCTGATCAGTGTTGCCGGGCAGGAGAGTCTCGGACTAGGGAGCGGCTCTCGTGAGACAAACGGAAAAAGTGGAAGAAAAACGGGTCATTGTCTGGCCTATCCCAGACTTGCAACATCTATATGTGTCCTTCAAAGCAGCGAATTGTGTTGAGTGAGAAGCCCTTTCTTTACCTGATTATAATGCACTGATTGTGTTTGGCATCGATCATTTTAGAGTAAGCCGCATTCGCAATGGCGAATAGATGTCTAGAGAAAACAGAATTTTAGAATTACAAGATGTGGCTCACAAACCATCACAAAATCATTCGCTTTTGATACTTGATCTTTCTCATCAGGCAAAGCCTCGCTCTCACCCTTCTTGTTGGGATGAACAACTCTCTCCCATCTCTGAAATATACATGCAACACTTTCCCTGCTCTATTGCATTACACTCTGTCTGTATGGAGAGCCTGAGCTGTCTTCAACAACAACAAATTACATTTGTATAGCGCCTTTCACATCGGGAGGACGTCCCAAGGGGCTAAATACTAATACTTCAGCACTAACAGAAAGTGAGAAAGACAACAGCAACAACAATAATGTGCATTTATGCAGCGCCTTTCATGTGGAGTAAAATCGCAGAGCGGTTTAGAGACAATGCAGGTGCCGAGCTGGGAGGCGATTGGAGAGAAGGGGAGAGTGACCGTGGGCGTCGGTTGAGGAGAGATTGAGACGGAGAGATACAGGGAGAGCAGCCAGATATCAATTTGGTTCCTGCTGCTTACGGTGGGTTTTCCCCGAGTGACTTCCCCTCATATCTCAGCACTGTCTCCGTCCCGTAGAGGTTGTACATTTTATACGGATTCACAGACACCAGAATACTGCCGATGTATGTCTGCAAGAGGGGAAAGCAGATTGGGTTTAGGCAGAGGTCACAAAGATCAACAACATGCTGCCCATAACACAGCACAATGGAAGGATGGTGAGGCTTTCTCTGAAAACTGCTCATTGTGGCTAGGAAAGGTCTTGCCAGGTGTCAGCCCAGGTTTGTAAATGGCAAACTGGCATACCCCCAAAATGAAGTGAAGTCAAAAGAAATAAAATAGGAAGCCAACTGTGAAACTTTGCCCAGCCTCACGATCCTGATAGAGTTGGGTTCGGAGCAGGCCAGCGCCTCACACTCATTCCCATACTGAGAATTCCTGATCCAAATGCACTAATCCGCGGTAAATTGTCCAAGTGTCCTCATTGGAATTCTCCTGGCATTGAGACGGTGTTCAGTACTTACATAAATGATCTGCAAGTCAAACCTCTTCCTTAAGTTGTACAGCACGGCTCCCTCGTTCAGATCCCTGAAAAATACAGCGAAACGAGATCTCTACCAGCAAAGATAGAATGTCCAGTCCCCAAAGTCCAGTGACCATAGTGTATGGGGGGGGGGGGGGGTGAGAGGGGGGGCAATCGTGGTACATTTGACATTTAACACATTGAATCTTCACTGGACGTGTAAAATAATTACATTGTGCATAAAAAAATGGTAAAATAAACTCACTCCAACTGCGTCATATCATCCACCCCTGTTTCTTCCAACGGCTGCTGGAACCTCACTGCGAGCTGGTCCCCGATGGAGTACATCTGAGGATAGGAGCACATGGTAGGCAAAACAACCATTATTATAACCTTGGTTTAACTTGACCTTCAAAAGAAATGTTAATCTTGTAACTTACTTGTTTCTTAGTTCTGCTGATCGTTGATGATCTTACTCTACACAGAATTCATTATTTCTGGATTAGTGCAATTTAACGATTGTTTTTCTTGATGCCGTAAAGAGAAAAATCAAATTCAGCCAAAAAAATCCAATCCAAGAAGTCATGTAGCAAAGTGCTGAAGCTACAAAACACACTGTGAACTGGTGAAGCTTGAAGTCACAGATCATGATATAATAATCCTTACATTTGATATAGTGCCTTATCACGTCATGGCAATGTCTCAAAGCACTTCAGAGGATATACTGTAAGGTGGTGTAACTGTGTGTATTTTGTGCATGAACTTTCATTTAATACAGCGCGTTTTACATTGAAAGAACATCTCAAAGCACTCCAGAGTTTCATTTACTGTAAAGTGTTGTGACTGTTTTTTGTAGCTAATTTTATTTGGGGGATTATTGGCCAGAACACGGGAAGAAATTCTCTTCTTGAGTCAGGCCACGGGATTGTTAATATCCATCTAAACAGGCAGAGTCGGCAGCCTCACCTTCAACACCAGCACTGCACTAAAGTGAGTTAACTTGAGGAGGTTTCTCAAGTTGGACCAAAGAGAAAGTGACAGCTGGAGGCATGGCTAGCTGGCTCTTGGTACTACATACAGATCCGAGTATTGAAGTGAAACACAAACAGCCAGTTGCCAGGTAAGAGGACACCTCTCAAAGCACAACTGACCTCAGGACCAGGGGATGTCTCATGTAACTATTTCTTTGTCACTATCCCTTGCTGCCAAGAAAGGCCTCGTTACCTCCTAATTAAACTCCCAGCCATTCTAATAGAGGCTCCTGACACACATCGACTTGTTGAATTCACAGACCTGTTCAGTTCTAGTGACAAGATATGCGGTAAGCATTTCAAATCCTGTCACCTTCACTGCAGCACATCCAGCGGCAATGTCCAGCTGACACCTGACCTGAGTTAGGTGTATAATATATTTTGGATGGGGAAGAGAGGATCCTATTAAAGCCTCACCATTCAAGGTTGGGTACGTAAACACTCACATAAGAACTCAGCTCTTGTGTTTAACCTACACAGGGCTTGCCCTCCATTCCGACCCTCTGGAGCCCTCACCTCATCTATTGGAAAACATAGTTGTGGATCTGGTACAAAATCCATAATAGATCTGTTCCAGAAAGATGGGAGCAGATTGATTACATAATCTGGCTGGATTTAACCCTGCCATGGGTGGGGATGTAATGGAAGAGGTGGTGGGTACTGGAGAACAGGATTTTGGAGTTGTTTTTGGCTTTGAGAATGACCTGCGAGAAGAAGTAGAATTCTCCCAATGGAAAAAAAAATTGGTCATTCCCTTTATTATCTGATTGCCATGTTGCTGTGCGAATCGGTTGCCCCGTTCACCACCAATACAGAGTCGCTCCACTTTACAGTGAAAACCCGCCCAACAACTTTCAGACGTGAAAGGCACCTTATCAAATATTATAAGGATTATCTTTATATTATTATTACTACTACTACTACGCGTGAAGACAATAGGTTTCAAAACTGAACAGAAATTATGAAGAACACACACCCAGCCATGTCACAGCGGTTTTGATCGTCGTTCTACCAGAGAGGTACAGAGCTCGACGAAGCAACGGCCAATGATTTTAATAATAATAATAATAATCCTTGCATTTGATATAGCGCTTTTCACGTCGGGAGGACGTCCCAAAGCGCTTCACAGAACACACTGTAAAGTGAATGGACCGTGTATTTGTGGGCGAACGCGGCGGCCAATCGCGCACAGCGACGTCCCACAAACAGTCGTGGATTGAAAATGACCAATTTATTATAGTTTTTGTTTTTTGGGAGGGATTGTTATTAGGCTCTGTGTGGAGTAAGGAAACTCGCCCGAGGTTTCGCCCTCTGCCTGGAATTGAACTCGGGTCTCTCGCTCGCAAAGCGAGTGCTCTAACCCCTGAGCTGCAGGACTCCAGGTTTTACCTTATTAAACCAAGGCATTCCTTTCTCATTGTCCTCCTCCCACTCTTGGTCACCCACTTTGTGCCGCGTGTACCCCTGTGGCCGGCGGCCGGCCCCGTTCTCTTGCCGGTACACTGACAACCCGGTGGTGGTTTGGTCCGGCGGGCGCTGGTACATCCTTCCCGGTGAGTGCACGTTCCTCACTTCGGCCGTCCCGCCCGGACCGCTCGGAGACCAATGGTATTTCACCTGGTGCCGAGGGAGCGACGTTCGGTAGCGGATGGAGTGCACGCGGGGCAGCACCACCGCGTACCGGCCGCCCGGCTCGTCCACCGCCGGGTCCTCGTCGTCCGGCCGCGCCGCCGACTCCGCGGACCGCCTGGACGGTTGGGGCGAGGGGGGCCCCCGGGCGTGCACTCCGGCGGGTGGGGGTGAGGGTGAGGGTGGGGGTGAGGGTGAGGGTGGGGGTGACCCCTCAGCTGGGGAGCGGGTGGGTTGTTTGAATGACACCCGCTGAGAGTCCGGGCTTCCACCCCGCGGGCCCTCGACGCACTGCCCCGGGGGCGGCGGCGGCGGCGGAGTATTCGTGTACCCGAACAGCTTCATCTGTGGTGGACTCGCAAAGGGTGACGGTCTGGGGTGGGCCCCGGGGGCCGGGGGCCGCTTGACGGGTAGCCCTGGGGAGGGTGGGTTCGAGGGCGTGCGGACGCTGACTGGACTCCGCGGCTCTCCTGCTCCCCCCGGGGGGGGAGGGCCGCGCTCTCTGGCTGAGCCCCGCGGAGGCGGCGGGGCCTCGGCTCTCCTCGGACCCTTCAAGAACGGATTCCCAGGCGCTCCTCTCAAGCCTCTTCTCGGGCCGAACAGGTGTGAGGGCGGCGTCGGCGGGAGCCCGGCCTGCGCTGCCCGGGCCGGGCCCGGGGCTGTGCCGCCTCTCGGAGCGACGGCGCTGGAGAGCGGCCGCCAGGCGCCCCCTCCCCGCCGTGTCTGACCGACGGCCTGGCGGCGGGGAGCGGTCGGGGCGCCGGGGCCATGGCGGGGCCGAAGCGTTTCGCAAACGGGTTCCCGGGCCGAGGCCCCGCGGGCTTCGGCGAGGGCTGAGGGGACGGCGGCGGCCCGAGCGCCTCCCGCGTGTCTCCCACCGGCGGCGGCGGCGGCGTCGCCATCGCTCTCCTGGCGAACGGGTTCCGGGGCTGCGCGGGGACCGGGCGGCCGCCGTGTCTGAGGAACGGGTTTCCGGGCAAACGCGCGGTGGGCGGTGGCGGAGAGGCCGAGCCTCGGGGAGACGGCGGCCTCGTGCTGTCGGCGTCCCCGCGCCTCTCCGGTGGCGGCGGGGAGCGGGGTCTGGGGGCTTCCCGCGGCCCCGGGCGGTCACCGCGTTTGAGGAAAGGATTCTTCCTCACCCCGAAGAACCTGAACCTGGGCGGCGGCGGCGGGGGGGGCGGCGGCTGGTGAGGGACCGCGTGCTGACTCCCGCCCGCGCCCCCGCCCCGCGGCCTGACGGTCGGCCCGGGAGATGGCGGCCGCTCCGGGCTCTCGCTCTTGTGGCGGCCGAAGCGCTTTACGAAGGGGTTTCTCGCGCTCCCGTTGCTCGGGGGCTTCTTGGCGCCAAAGAACCGTAAGGCCTCCCGCTTGTGCCCGAGGAGGGGGGAGGGGGACGGGGAGGGCGCGCGCGGCGGCGGGGGCGGCGGCGGCGGCGGGAGGACGACAGGTCGCCTCAGTGACGGTTGAGGCGGTGGCGGCCGCGGGGCCGGTGCCGCCAACCCCCTGAACAGCAGGTTGGGTGCCACCGCCTCGCGCAGCCCGACCCCCCCGCCCGCCTCACGGCCGAAGCCCGGGAACCCCGACTTGGCGGGCGGGCGGCCGGCGACTGCCTCGGGGACCGGGCGCCTGGTTGAGGGCGGGGGGGCGGGGGCGGGGGGTGTGAGGAGGTTGGGCGGAGCCGCCGCCGCCGCCGCCGTCGCCTTTTGGCCCAACAGCTTCGTGGGTGACTTGGGCCCGAAACCCAACCGTCTCCCCTCCCCCCCCCTCTCCGCGCGGCTGTCGGGGCGGCTCAGCGCTGGCCGGGGGGAGGCCGGGGGGGAGCCTGGCCTCGGGTGGCCACGGTCGGCGGAGCGCCCCGGAGAGGTGTGACGGCCGAACCGGGGCGGCGGATAACCGCGGCCTTTCACGGGAAGCTGTGGCGGTGGCGGTGGCTGCCGGCGGCTGGGGGTCGGGCTGCCCGACCGCCATACCGACAGTTGGGGGGGGGAGGGGGAGGGGGTTGACCACCGCTGGGATCCATGCGGTGAGCTGCCAACGCGCCCCGTGGTCAGCCGGGCCGAGGATGCCCTCCGGACACTTGCCCGCGAGGCCTTCGGACCCAGTGTCCTGGGAGAACACCGACCGCGCGGTGACCGTGCCCGGCCGGCGGGACTTGGGGAGGGTTCGCGTGAACCGGGATCCGATGCTCCTACGTCCGAGCGCTCCGCCTCCCACCAGTAACTTGGCGAAGACTGGTCCTGGGGTTGGTACGAGGCGGTCGACCAGTGCGGGGAGGGCAGCCTCGGGAGGTCAAGTTTGTCACTCCCGAACAGTTTGACCTGCGGCCTCGGGAAGAGCCGGTGCCGCCCGCCGGGAGCCGGCGGCCAGGCTGGGATCTGAAGGCGGTCCATTCGGCGCTGGTTGAGCCACGACGGAGTCACCATCGAAGAGCCAAAGCCTTCATAGTCGGACTCCTCGGTTTCCGCAAACTCTTCCCGCTCTTCAATAGCACTCATCCGGTAACCAAACTGGTTGCACGATGACTCGACGTACGGCAACGGCTCATACTCGCTGTAGTTCAACTGATAGCCAAAGTCTTGCGGTAAATATGGGTTGTAGAGTTCGGTTTCGTCCAAGTAAGGATCGTGATCTCCTGGTCGGGCATAATGTGACTGGGAGTAATCCATTTCATCTTCATAGTAACCAAACGGCCCTGGGGACGTGTAGCCATTTGGAAAATCATATTCCATGTCATCTTCATAGTAACCATATTGTTCGTAGGGGGAAAAGTCAACCGGAGAGTTATAGTCTTGTATCTCATCTTCATAGTAACCATAATGCTCTGGCCCTGTGTAGGCAGAGGGGGTATCCTGATACTCTGCATCGTCCTCGTAATAATCTCGAGGCAAATAACCATTGGGGACGTCGTAATAGTCAATGTCGTCTTCATAATACCCATACTGTTCTGGGGGCATATAGCCATCATCATAGTATTCCACGTCCTCATAGTAACTGCCATACTGTTCAGGCAATTCATAATAATATTCCATTTCATCTTCATAGTAATCATACTGCTCAGAGTGGGAGGGCAAATGTCGTTGGGTGTCCCCATAAGCGTATCTACCTGACGGACTCCAAGCAGGACGTGGAGGCGCCATCCTTGGGTAGCGCCTCCTCCTCCCATACTCATCATACTCACCATCGTCAAAATCATAGCCATAGCCATACTGGTTTTGTGCATGTGCTGGATGCCTGTTCCTCATGTTTGCTCTGTGTCTCAGGACTTCATCTCCAGATGGGAAAGGTAACTTTTGGGCTCCAATTTTAGAGAGCCAAGCCGTTGATCCAACATCATTCATTGGACTCTTTGCTGACATACTATATTTGTTTCTTTTGGACAGAAACCTTGTCGTGAGCCAGTTTGACGCACTGGACAGTTTGCCCATGAGCAAAGCGTTGAGCTTGAACTTTGCTTTGAAAGCTTTCTTTGTCCCCGGGAAACCAAACTTGGTTTTCCCGAACATTTTTCCTAGCCCACCTTTTGCAGCCACCGCCGGCTTTGCACTTTTCCCTGGTTTATCTCCCAGCCGGATCAGCAGGAAGGAGGCTTTCCTGGGGCCTCCGGAAGGCGCTGGTGGAGGCTTCTTTACACTGGATTTAAAACCCATCATAAATCTCGAAGTCTTCTTCAGCCCTGAAACTGGCAGTTTCTTGGCTTTAGCAAACGGAGACTTTTGCTTTCCAAAACCCATAAACATTTTCGAGGTGCTTTTCAAGTTATGATTTGCTGTAGTATTATTCTGTTTTACTTGACCGAAGCCAATGAAAAGTTTGGATGCGTTTTTGATGCCTTTTTTGGCATCGTTCTTTTTCTCTATCTCCTGCTCCGCTTTCTCCTTCTTGCCAGCAGGCAATGTGAAGCCGACCATCGCTCCCTTTAAGTGAGCTTTCATATTGTCCCTCTTTTTCTTTTTCTTTGCCTTGCCATCCGCTGCCAGCCCCATTACAAACTTAGATGTGCCCTTGAGATGCAAGTCTTTCTGCGCTGGCTTCACTGCCTTTTTGCCTTCGCTTTTGAAGCCAGACATGGCTTTCGAAGCACCCTTCAAATTAATACGTTTATTGGGTCGTTCATCTTCCTCTTCTTCATTCTCATCTTCACTCTCTTCCTCTTCAGACTGAACATTCTTCCTCCTATGACCATCCCGTTTCATGCCTCCCATTGCCATGGAAGCACCTTTAAGAGCCGCAAGCCTTTTCCCTTTTGGGGGCGGCACGTCACTTCCATCCTCTTCCTCACTTTGATCTTCCTCTTCATTTATCTCGCTCAATTCTTCACTCTCTTCTATCTCATCGATGCTCTGCTCTAACTCTGCCTCAGAAGGCTGGTCTGATTCATCACTAGTTATAACATTACTTTTCTTTGCATGTTTCCCCTTTTTCACATCTTCCTTACCTTTGCCACCTTTTTTGTCATCCTTCCCTTTCTTTGGATCAGATTTTCCTTTGTCTGCATTCTTCTTCTCCGCTTGCCCTTTTCCCCCCTTAGTGGTGGGGGGGGCTTTCTTTGCTGCAGCTTTAGAATCACCTTTTTTTCCCGCCATCACTGCTCTTCTCAAGGGTCATACCAAACAGCAAAGTCTTCAATTTCTTAAACTGACTCGAGAACCAAGGGCAGAGTTTGTGAACTCCATCTCCTTGTCCTTCATGACAGTGCAGATGCTCCCATTGTTGCACTGCAGTTTACCTCAACGATAAAACAGAGGGTGGAAGCAGCTATATACTGGAGTCTACAAAAAACACAGCAAGAAACCGGGTATTCTCAAAAGATCTCTTCCAATTGAAGTTTTGACATTGACTGTGTGAAACCTACGTAAGTTATTCCATCTGCTGGAAAGAATGCTGAAGCAAATCACACTTCACCCCAATTTCCACATCAGCCAGCTAAATTACTCAGACATCTGCAAATGTACTGAACCAGAAAA